TCCTCCAGCACATTTCCCAAAGTTAATCAATCTCTTTTCAAACTACTGCTTCTGTGTTGGGTCTCAGAGGAATGGACACAGCACACCGGTCCTCCACCAGCCGAGACTCAGCCTCCTGCAGCCCTTCAGCTCTCTCTGGCACTTCAGCTCTGTTGATTTTTAAAGCCCCATGCAATGGGGACTCACCTTTCTGGAGCAGATCCCCAGGTCTGGTGTGCTGGGTTCCCAAGCATTTTTCTCCCCACTCTGTTTCTCACTCTCCTTCTGTGGGTTCAGATGGAGTAAGGGCTTGGATCCAAATTGATTGTGGCTGTTTCTGAATGTGGTCTTCTTTCTCATTAGGCATAGGTCTGTTCTGCTGGTCTTCAGGGTTAGTTGTACTAGGTATAGTTGCTTCCTCAGTGTTTACATGGGAGGAGCTTTTCACAATGACCCTGATTCTGCAGTCCTCCCAGAATCCTATTCAACTTGTGAATTACTTTGAAGCATATTATTTAATATTTTTGAGTAGTGAATTATTTTGAAGTGTGTCAACTTCCAGGATATTAGAAGTTTGTCAGGATACCTTATCTAAATAAAGTCTGAAATAGTAAGAGTATTATTTGTCAAAACAAAACTAAATTAAGAAATCTAAAATATTGTGTTGTTGAGAGACAGTACAGTCTGTATGATTCCAAGCCTCTTAAATTTACTTTTATTAAAACGTTTTTAGCATTTTTAGAATTTTTAAATTTAAGTATAATTTTTATTTTAAATTTTTGAGTATAGTTAACATACAATATTATATGGTTTCAGGTGCAAAACAATGATTCAGTGTTTATGTACATTACAAAATGCTCATTACAATAAGTGTAGTTTCCATCTGTCATCATACAAAATTATTACCTTATTGATATATTACCTATGGCTATACTTTTTCATCCCAATAACTTATTTTATAACTGGAAATTTGTAACTCTTAATTCCCTTCAACTATCTTGCCCATCTCCTTACTTCCCTCTGCTCTGACAACCACCAGTTTATTTTCTGTATTTATGAGTCTGTCTTTTTTTTTTTAATTCCACACATAAGTAAAATGTGGTATTTGTCTTTCTGTCTGACTTACTACACCTAGCATAATGCCTTCTAATTCTATCCATATTGCAAATGACAACATTTCATTCTTATTTTTATGGCTAATTAATGTTCCATTTGTGTGTGTGTATGTATATACATACCACATTCCTTATCCATTCATCTGTTATGGACACTTAGGTTTCTTCCACATCTTAGCTATTGTAAATGATGCTACAATAAACATGGAGTGCACATGTCTTTTCAAATTAGTGTTTTCATGTCTGTAGGTAAATACCCATAAGTAGAATCACAGAATTATATGATAGTTCTATTTTTAATTTTTTGAGGAAATGCCATACTGTTTTACATAGTAGCTGTGTCAATTTACTGTTTTCCATAATACCATGCACCAACAGTACCTGAGGGTTCTCTTTTCTCCACATCCTCACCAACACTTGTTATTTCTTAACTTTTTGATACTGGCCAGACTGGTGTGAGGATATTGTGGCTTTGATTTGCATTCCCCTGATGATTAATGAAATATTTTCATGTGCTATTGCCATCTGTGTGCTCTCTTTGGAAAAATGTCTACTCATGTCCTCTACCCATCTTTAAATCAGATTATTTTTTGGTATTGCGTTGTATGAGTTCTTTATATATTTCAGATGTTAACCTTTTATTGGATATATCACTCAAAATATTTCCTCCAACTCAGGAGGTTTCTTTTGTTTTATTCATGGCTTCCTTCATTGTACAAAAGCTTTTTAGTTTGTAGTCCCAATTGTTTACTTCTGTACTCTCTATTCTATTCCACTGACATAAGTGTCTTTATGCCAATACCATACTGGTTTGACTGCTACACCTTTGTAGTATAGTTTGAAATCAGATTGTGATAACGCCAGCTTTGTTATTAGAATTGGCTATTTGGGTATTTTGTGTTTCCATACATATTTTAGGATTATATGTTCTAGTTCTGTAAAAAATACTATTGTTATTTTTTTAGGCATTTCTTTGGGCAATGTGTGGATTTGCTTTGGGCAAATGGACCTTTTAACACTATTCTAATTCATGACCATGGTATATCTTTCATTTGTGTCTTCAATGAAATTCTTTCATCAATGTCTCAGAGTTTTCAGAATACAGGTCTTTCACTTTCTTGGTTAAATTTATTTCTAAGTATTTTATTTTTCTTAATTAATTGTAAATGGGATTGCTTTCTTAATTTCTTTCTACTAGTTCATTATTAGTATATAGAAGATTTCTATATATTGCTTTTGTATCCTCCAACTTTACTGAATTCATTTATTAATGCTAATAATTTTTTGGTGTAGTCTTTAGGGCTTGCTTTATATAGTATGTCATATGCAAATAGTCACAGTTTTACTTCTTTACGTATTTGGATTACTTGTATTTCTTGTCTGATTAATGTGACTAGGACTTTCAGTACTATGTTTATTAAAATGGCAAGAGTGAACATCTTTGTTCTGATCTTAGAGGGAAAACTTTCACCTGTTTACCACTGAGTCTGGTGTTAGCTGCAAGCTTGTCATATATGGCCTTTATTATGTTGAGGTATATTCCCTCTTTACCCAATTTGTTGAGGTTATGAATGGGTGAATTTCGTCAAATGCTATTTCTGCATCTATTGTGCTGACCATATGATTTTTTATCCTTCATTTTGTTTATGTGGTATGTCACATTGATTTGCAGATAATGGACCATCCTTGCATCCCTGGAATAAATTCTACTCAAACAATTCAATGTATTGTTGAATTCAGGTTGCTGATATTTTGTTGAGGATTTTTGTGTCTTTGTTCCTGAGGGATATTGGCCTGTAATTTTCTTTTTTTTTGTAGTGTTTTTATGTGGTTTTGGCAATAGGATAGTGCTAGCCTGGTAGAATGAATTTGGAAACATTCTTTCATCTTCTGTTTTTTCCAATTAGTTGAGAAGGATATTAACTCTTTAAAATATTTGGTAGTACTTATTTGTGAAACTGTCTGGTCCTGGACTTTTGTTCATTGGGAATTTTTGATTATTGGATTCAGTTTCCTTTCTAGTAACTGGTCTGTTCAGATTATCTATTTCTTCCTGGTTCATTCTTGGAAGATTGTTTCTATGAATTTATCTATTTCCTCTAGATTGTTGGTATATATTTTTACAAAGTAGTCTCATACAATCCTTGTATTTCTGTGGTGTTGTTTTTAATTCTCCTCTTTGATTTGGAGTCTGCTCTTTTTCAAGCCTCTTAAGTTTATGGAGACTTGTTTTATGGCCTACCTTGTTCACTGTTCCATATCTACTTGAAAATAATTTGTATTTTGTGGTTGTTGATATAATTTCTGTAATTGTCAGTTTAATCAAGTTGGTTGATAGCATTGTTCAGATCTGTCTGAGTTTTTAAAAATCTAGTTCTATCAATTTCTGAAGGGGTTTTTACATTACCTGATATTTTTATGGGATTATCTATTTCCCTTTATTTCAGCCATTTTGCTTCAGATGCATTGTGAAACTGTTGTTAGGCACTTTAAAATAGCCACTTTAGCCTTCTTATTCCTAGACTGTGCATGGTTTATCTTTTTATATCCATTTCTTTTAAACCTGTGTCTTTGTTTAATGTGTGTTTCCTGTAGGCAGTATATAATAGGGTTCTCTTTTTTTATCCATTGTTTCAATTTATTGTCTTTAATTGCAATGTTTAACCTAGGAGTCAGCAAACTATGGCCCTCAGGTCAAATGCCTGTTTTAGAAATTAAGCCTTAATAGAATATAGCCATATATGCTTTATTCATGTTTTATCTGTGGCTGCTTTTGTGCTATATGATAGCTGAGTAGTTGTGACAGAGACTCTGTTACCAAACTCTTAAAAGAACTTAGGAAAATACTTGCAAGGTCTGTCTCAAGTGCAGGAGCTTCTGTCCTTGTGAAGTTGGGTATGCCCACCTTCCTGGTACATGGGTATGTTCACCAACCCCAAAGATGATCTCCAAACCCTGTTAATTTTTAGACTTTTTATGGAGGCTTCATTACTTGAATTATGTATGGAATTATGGAGACATAATTGAGCATTAACTCAATCTCTAGTCCCTCTTCTCTTCCTAGGTGTGGGGCTGAAAGTTTCAAGCTTCTAATCATGAATTGGTCTTTTTGGTGACCAGCCTTCATCCAGGAGCCCACCAGGAGTCACCTCATTAGAACAACAGACACATTTTTATCAGCCAGAAAATTCCAAGGGATTTAGGAGCTTTGTGGCAGGAACTAGGGTCAAAGGCCCAGTGTTAAAAAAAAGATGCTCTTAGAGCTCTTATCACTTAGGAAATTACAAGGGTTTTAGAAGTTCTGTGCCAGGAACTGGGGACAGAGACCAGTGTATATTTTTTTCTATTATTTCACAATATGGAATTCTAGGTTGCGAGTTCTTTTGATCATTTTGGATGAGGAATGCATATATTTAATCATTATTCCCCTTGATGATAGGGACTTTATATATATATAGCATAGTCCTGATACACATGTGTAAAATGTTTCTTGAATTTATTTTGGTTGTATTAAGTGCCTAGTAAGTTAATATAAATACTAGATAACTTTATTAGGGTTCCATTTTGACAGGATCTGAATAGGCCTTACTGCTGTTGTATTTTATAATGCAAGATTGGTTTACTAGATATGAAAAACCTTATGAAAGAAGGCGTGCATTACCAATTTTCTGAAATGGTTCCCATCTATTTTTCTTGGTTATTTGTCATCCTTTCCATGTAAAAGTAAAATTGGAGGCAATAGATGTTTTTCAAAGCTTTTCTCCCCCCTTCTCTTTTCTATAGAAACTAGTCATCATTTTATAAAACACTGGGCAGTTAAGGAACATCCAGAAGGAAATGAGCCAGAAGGTGTTCTGGGAGAGTTCCATGTTTCATAACTTTACATTTGATTTTTAATATCTATAGAGAGAATTAAATACAGCAGAGATTTCCTGTTGAAGCTCTCAAGTGTTTCTGTCTGCAGAAAAAGACCAGACTTTCTGCCTGATCATCCAGTTGTACTTCAAAAACCAGTAAGTAGTTTTCTAATTTTGTATTACAAATACCTTTTTCATTTTCATTTCATTTTCCCAAGATTTTTAATCTTTCTCATTGTTAAATATACTTTAGAAATATATATAAATGTATAATACAACTTATTACTCTAATTACCACTCTGGACAAGAAATAAAATGGAATCATTGTATTTTAAGAAATGTTTTAGAAATATATTTTTTAATTGATACTCAGTCTTATTTTAGTTTCAAGTATACAACACAGTGGTTTCAATAGTTACCCATATTATTAAATCCTCACTCCTACCGCCCACCCACCAACTAGTACAGCTGCTGTCTATCAGAATCACTGGCTGTATTCTCCATGCTGTACTACTATTCCCATGACCAACCTACATCATGACTGAGAATTTTTGTGCCCCTTTATCCCCCTCACCAACCTTTCCCCCATGGTAACTACCCATCCCTTCTCAGTGTCTATGAGTCTATTGCTGTTTTGTTCATTCTGTTTTGCTTTGTTTTTAATATTCCACAAATAACTGAAACCATATGGTATTTGCCTTTCTCTGCCTGGCTTATTTCACTGAGCATAGTACCTGATCCATCCATGTTGTTGTAAATGGCAGGATTTCTTTTTATGGCTGAATAGTATTCCATTGTGTATATGTACCACATCATCTTTATCCATTCATCTATTGATGGACACTTAGGTTGCTTCCATATCTTGACTATTGTAAATAATACAGCAGTAAATATAGGGGTACATGTTATCTGTTTGGATCAGGGATTTTTTTTCTTTGGGTAACTTCCTAGAAGTGGAATTACTGGGTTGTATCGCTTTTCTATTTTTAGTTTTTTGAGGAACCTCCATACTGCTTTCCCTAGTGGCTGCACCAATTGACATTCCCACCAACAGTTTAGGAGGGTTCCCTTTTCTCCACATCCTTACTAACACTTGTTATTTCTTGTGTTTTGGATAGTGGCCATTCTGCCTGGTGTGAGTTGATATCTCATTGTGGTTTTGATTTGCATTTCCTTGATGATTAGAGATGTGGAGCATTGTTTCATGTGCCTGTTAGCCATCTGTATTTCTTCTTTGGAGAAATTTCTGTTCAGGTCCTCTGCCCATTTTTTCAATCGAGTTATTTGCCTTTTGGTGTTGAGGTATAAGCGCTTCATGTATTTTGTATGTTAACCCTTTGCTGGATAAATCATTTACGAATATATTCTCCCATACTGTAGGTTGCCTTTTTTTTCCTGCTGATGGTGTCCTTTGCTGTTTAGAAGCTTTTTTTTTTATTAGTTTGATACAGAAAGAATATTTTCTATTGAAGGGTCATGAAAAAACTTTTGGAAGACAGTACAGGATGTTCTTGTTTTTCAGTTAAGTTCTATAATCTACCTGGATTGATTTTACTGTATGCTATGAGGAAAGGGGACAGTTTTTTTTCTGCATGGCTCTCCAGTCATCATAGCAATATTTATTAAAGGATAGTTCTCTGCCACCTTTGAGGTTTCTTTCTGGGTTCTCTATTCTGTTCAATCCTATTCAGTTAGTCATTCTTCTTCTTATAAAAGGCTAGAACAAATATATGTTGAAGAATATTTCTGTGTAAGTTCATCAAATTCCATCAAAATAAATATATGTTTACTTGATTGTAAAGGATGTGAGCTTTGGCATCAGGCTTAGTTCAAGTTGTAACTCCTCCACCTTGTGTACTGGTACAATATTAAAACCTAAACAAGTCATTGACCTTGAGCCTCAGTTTTGTAGTTGCAAATAAGGATGATAACCTCTTAAAATTAAATAATGTACTGTGCACTCAGTAAATGCTGGATGTCCATCTTTTGTGGTCTTTCACTTTGGGATTTGACTTTCTTCAGAATTTTCAAAAAACACTTTCATATAGGTAAAGCAACTAGTATTCTACTGAGACACACTCATAAGATAGGTATGCTGAGAATAGCTCAAATGGGAAGTTTTCCATTTTGGGGATTTCTAACCCTTTTGGAATCCCTAGGCTTTTTCACTCTAGTTTTTTGAATAACTTATTCATAGTATGTATCAATGTCTCAAACTCCCTAACTTGCAGATCCTAGCCAATTTAAAAAAAAATTAAAGCAGAAATTTAAAAGGTTTTTTTTGTAATACCTTGCATGCAAGGATGTTTAATAAGGAAAAATATCCATGATGACATTTGAATTTTCTCACCTGTTCAGAAATCTTGGAGCATATGATCTTAGTCTGTAAAAATAAATGTAGTCACCTTTTCATTTGCAGACTTCCCATCTATAATATTTTATTTTGTAACTAAAAGTCTGACATACACATTTTGAACAAAACCTTATACATTAGAATGGAGTTTTTTGTTTCATGTATTAATATTTTTTTAAAACTAGGTACAACAAAAACAACAGGTTTGGAATATGATCTAATACATTTAAAATCCAATTACATGTTTCAGACAGAAGAACTGTTTCATTTGACAAATTCTGGTTAAATACTTTCTATGGTAACATGCATTTAGATCTTTAAACAGTATTTGGTTTGATGAACTAGTAAAAACTGTATCCATTCAATCTAATTGATAAGTTAACTTTTTCTTCTATATTACAGGAAAATGACCAAAGTTTTAAGTAGCATTTTAAGAACAGATGAAGATGAAGAATTATCCATTTTATATTTTGGATACCTGCAAATAAAGTGGATCTAGTAATTATAACTGTAATGGACTGTGACAATTCATTTTTAATTTTGATGGTCGTGTATTTGGTTTCTCCTAAAACGAGAAAAAAAATTTTTAATTATAAAGAATTTTCTAATCAGTTTCAGCTTTGCGGGTAGTTTCCTGCATAAATTGGGATGTAACACTGGAAAGTAGGAATTTGGTTACTGAAATGGACTTTCTAATTTGCATGCTACTTGAAAGTTTTTGTTTTTCATCACTGGTAATAATGGAATGGAAATGTAAGCTGTAAAGATTCTCAAATATAAATTACTTGCTATGATGTATATATGGTACATAATTTCTTGATGCTTTTGTTGTTTCTCATTGACTTCATTCCAGCCCTTGAAAGGCTCTTTAGTCTCCCAGGGGCTTAGAATGATTCAGGATGGTCAGGGCCTAGGTCTCAATGACAGGAGATGGATTACTTTAATAGACTTTCTTTTTCCATTCACATGATCAGCCTCTTGCTTTTTGATAAGAATTTAACATTATCTAATTACTAGCAGAGATTGTCAGTTTGGAAACAAACTGATGGTGAAAAATAACTTGTGTGTCACTGATCAGACCATATGAAAAGAAGTTGAGCAATTGTAACATAAAACTATTTCCAAAAGAAGAAAAATTTAGGCATTTGCAAATAATTGAGGTGCATTAAGTTTCATTTCTGTAACTTCTTATAACAAGTACAGCTGAATATTTTTGGGGTTTAGACTTTTAGCTTCTAGAAATTTTGTACAATAAACTTCATGTAGTTTATCACTGTTGGATATTACTGTAAAAAAAATTTCTCCCAGCCCAGTGTCAAATAGAATTGTTGACATAAAGGTAAGTGTGAACTCTCCCTACTTCAGTTCTCTCAGATCCCCAGGTCTATTGGCCAGGCAGGCATACTGTATCATTTGGCAGAAAGTTTATCTTAAACTCAATCCTGCATTCTTAAAGGCAATACCTTTTTCTTCACTGATCTTTGGGCATGTTACCCAGATACAAGCTTTCGTTCATTGTAACTTTCCCATCTTGGTCTTACAGTACACTACTTGTTCCCCAGGAAAAGACTGTTTTTTGAATAGGAAAAAGAAAATCTCCATTCACTATACATTTATTCTATTTATACCTAGGACCCAGTTTTTTCATTTTTTTGTCCTATTTTCCCTTTATATTATAGGTTCCAATATATATATGTATGTGTGAATACACACACTCTTACACACATATACAAAAATGTATGCATAATTTGTAAAGATCTGGGGTCAGAATTACCCTACAGTTAAACTGGTTTGATTCATTATTTGCCTGTCCTCAAAGTTTTTTACACTAGTTAAAAAAATGATAAAACTTATTCCAATTTGTAATCTGAAGAGCCTTTCCACTTAGCCTTATTACTGAGGGCCGAATCCTTTTAAAGACATGTTCTACTTTGGAAACTGCCTAGTACACAAAAACTTGATGTACTTTCTGAATCTAATAATGAAATGGACTGGCCAGAACAATGTATCATTGACTATAATTTGTATGTCAAAAGTCCCTTTGGTTTGAAAGTCTTTTGATCTTTTCTTACTGTATATAATCAGAGTGAGACTGCAAAGACTCTTTTATTATCTATTTGCCTTTGTACATATGCATCCTTGTTTGAATAATCATTGCATCTCCATTGATGTTGTTCTTTGCTTTGTATGTAAATTAAGAGTTAAGCCAGGTATTGTTTCATAGTGTTTATCATTTTAGAAATGACCAAAGACACATACACATATGTGTGTATAAATGTGTGTGTGTGTGTGTGTGTGTGTGTTACCTATGTCTAGTAGAAGCCATGAAAAAATTCTTTTATTTAGGTTGAATGAGAGTCCTAGGGGTATACCAACCAAGTTATTGATAAAAGTTAAAAGTCCATAAATTGACAAACTGTTATATGTCAGATTTTATATTTTTTTAAAAATTTAGTTCAGTCTTTTCTTCCTGAGTTTTCTAACAGGGGGAAAAAATACTTACCTTATGTTTTTTTTTCTGAAAGACCTAGGGTTTCAAAGGAATTTGGACTAGAGAACAACATGGTAAGAAATATCTTATATATCACATTTTCATTAGCAATGTTTATCAGATTACAGTAGATTTTATTATTAAAAACTATAAGCTTGTACAGCAGAGTATGTAGGTTATACAGTTGTTCTAGTGACACTGGGATTACAGTCATTCCAGTGTTAAAAACTGTGGAATAGATGTTTTCTGTCTGGTACCTTCCCAACTATTTTATTCCTTCCCAAATGTTTTGTGCTTGTTTTATATTTCTACTTTGTTCACTTAGAAGAAAACAATTTTAAAATATTTTGAAATGCTATTTAAATGCAAATGTCTATTTGTCATAAGGAAAGTTAGCCCTCCGGATCACATGCTAAAAAATTTGAACCAGATTTTCTCAAAGTGAAACTCTCCTCTTACTTTATTCAAGGAATTATGATGCTAATAAGTGATACAATGGTACTGTTACATTACTAAATGGTACCCTATCACAAAATTGTTCACTTAACAAAAAACCAGTTTTTAACCTGACAGATGGATAGATTTTATAGATTCCTGCCAAGGTTGTTTTATGCTCATGTATTTTTTTTCTTTTTAAGCTAAAATAACAAAAAGATATTTTCTCACAGTTCTAGAGACTAGAAGTCCAAGGTCAAGGTGCTAGCAGGATTGGTTGCTCTTAAGGCCTCTCTCCTGGGCTTGCTGTTGGCTGCCTCCTTAACTGTGTCCTCACATGACCTTTACTCTGTGCATATACATTCCTGCTGTCATTCTCTCTGCATAAGGACACCAGTCATATTGGGTCATGTATTACCTTTTAAAGTAATGTAAAGTGAATAGTCATAGGATCATGAGTTGGGAATGGACTAGGCATTATTTAAGAATAAACTTCACTCACAGAAAATCAGTTATTTAAAAATCACAAAAACACTGATTTAACTTTTATAGTTTCTGACAAATCTACAAAAGCTGTCCTATGAAGTGAAATTTCCACTTGAAAGGTTTTATCATTTTTATCACGATTTTTTAAAGTGTATACTTTGTGTGACTAAAAGATTTTAGGTTACAATATGAGAAAACAGCAAATACTGAGAATCATGAACTCTGAAACATTCACGTGAAAGATACATAAGATGAGAGTACATATCTTAAATATGTTAAAAGTATAGAGTAAATTAATAACTACAGAGAATTTTCTAATTCACATTTAGATAAGAATGCATGTTTTGCACTTGGAACCATAAAGAAAATGTCTAGGAGCATCTAGTTGTTCAGTATCCACCATGAAGCTGAAAAGGAAAAACAATTTTTTAAGTAATGAAAATAACTGTTTAAAGTGTACATTATTCTTAAAGAGATTATTTCCCCCCACCTATTGTCTACATGATTATCTTTCAAGTCATGATTTCCTGACTGTATGAAATAAGACTGACTTCGTCCTATGCAGTTGTTATTTGTGCCATATCTTTTTGGTGCTTGGTGGTTGTCTAAAAATTTTTTGTTATATGTGAATAGAGCTAAGACTTGGCAATGATATTAAAAATTCCCTGAAGATAAAATCATGATGTTTTAATATACACAGTAATGGCAGTAGCTTGAAAATATGACACGAGACTTTTACATACTGATTTCAGAAAGATTGGATATAAGCAAGTGGCTGTGTTTCTTGGTATGTCTGCATTGTAAAATTGGAAATGTTATCCCCAGTGAATATAAATATCTCAAAGACAAACCTATGCTAAAGAAATAAGATTGGTGGAATGCTGTGACATGCAGACAAATGGAAAGAATTAAAATTTGTTTTCAAAACTATTTAAATAAACACACTGGCTGGCAATAGGATCTTTCTTGTGTATCCTCTTTTCTTTTAAGCACAGGCCCTTCTCCTTTCCCAAGGCATATTCTGTCTCACAGGCTGAATTCTCACACTCTTTTTTGTCTGTGTTTGATGATGGCTAATGGGCCTAGGCTGCCATATTCTAGTGTGCCTCATTTGAATGATTTTTATATTTGAGAGTTCATAGGAATATATTTTGGTTTGTATTTTCATATTTGGTTGTAGTCTGGTTTAGTTAATTTTTTAAGATGTATCTTAGGTAAACCACTTAGAAATCTTAATAAAAAAGCAATCTTATTAGAAATCATAATTTGTGAGTTAAATTAGAAATACAAATGTAGTCATCCTGTGTTTCTAACTGTAATAACCTTTTTCTTAAAGATTTTTTAGGTCTATGTGCAGCTAAAAAAGTTTTTAATTGTATATGTAACCTTTATAACCGTATAACAAGCAAAATGCACAAAACTAGTTATTAAAAATATTAGAAGTCATGTGGCCATTAAAACCATAAGTACTTATAAGCTAATTCCAGCTTTTTGTCCATGTAGTTGTATCCGCTGCTATTGCAGTTATAAAACTTTAACTTTGAAATAGAGTAGAATGCCCAATAGATGTTAAAAACTGTTAGAAGCCTTTTTGTTATTTCAAATTCCAGTGGTCACTGTTGAAATTATAGTGATATAAAAATTAATGAAAAATAAGGTGGCAATTAAAAGGCACTGTTTTGAATTCAGGCCCTGAGAACAAGAATTGATCTAGTATTATTTGTGTTTGGTTTTTCTTTCAAAATCAGGAAATGCTCTCAGAGAGAAAGAGTATTGTATGCACCAATGATACAAACAGTGCATAGAAAATTAATCCAAGATGATGAAGTAAAGTTGGACCAGAAAAAAATCTATCTTGTTACTCTAATTGTCTTATTCGGTTATGGTATTTCTTCCTGCTAACTCTTTCTACTGTAACTCTTTTTAAAGTGTTTTCTGTCCTGGAAAGACTCAGGTCTCCAATAAGAATAAGCTGCTGCTTTTGTACATTATGGAACCAATGGTTTCAAGTTTGGGAGAGTTGAAACTGATAAGATGGCAGATAAAATTACAAGTGTCAGGACTTCTTGGGAAATTTTTGTGACTAATATCAATGCATTTATGATGCCATCAAAGTGCTTGCTTATTCATTCCTTTATCGAGAATATACTTGTTTTTCTGTTCCATACATTGTGCTAATACTGCATTTGTCAGGTAGTACAATAATCTAGGCCAGGAAAAAAGGCTTCTGGGACTGGTGAGAAAAATGTATAGGTAAAATTAAATATGTAACAGAAGCTGGAGAACTGTCTATTTTAAACGTTGGGACAGAAAAGCCTCCTTTATCAAGGAGACTGAGGAAAGGAAGGAGAATCATAGTTGAAGGAAACCAAGGAAACCAAAAGAGGAGTAACCACCATGCATGGTGGCACAGGGCACCTCGGGGGCCTGTGTAGTAGAGTGTGACTGAAGAGAATGGATCTAACAAGAGGCAGCTATCCAAGAAAACAGTTTGAATTTAAAATTTAGGATAGATTTTGATTGGGGAATAAAACGGAAAGTGAACAGGCAAGTTACTTACCCTAGACCTTAAGGACAGATTGGGTTGGGATATGAATGTAAAGATGTGGATCTTGCTTTTCTGCATTCTGCAAACAAAGAATGCAGCAGCCATATTTACGGAAGTTATTTGTGTTCAAGTCTGGTTATAATAGTTAAGCTAAAACTTTTTTTGGATAAATTTAAGGCAACCACTGAAGTCTGTTCTTTAATAACCTGTGCTACCACACCTACCTGCAACTTTCCGGAAGTGTGGTATACTCTAATCGCCTGAATCAAACCGTGAGTCACAAGATTTTTCAACTGCATTCATGGCTTTCTTATTTGAAATAAAATATCTGAGATACACAGCAAGACAAATCCTACAAGACTGCCACCTCTAGGCCAGGCAAATCTGTCCTTAAGGTCTGGCGTAAGTAACTAAAGCTCAGGCTGAGGCTGAAGAGTCAGCCGACTTGGAGCACTCATACTTGATCACCTCCACCTACCTCCTCACCTAACTTCAATTCCAGAATTTGCTTTTTCACTTTCCATTTATTCCCGAATCAAAATCTACCCTAAATTTTAAATTCAGACTGTTTTCTTGGACAGTTGCCTCTTGTTAGATCCATTCTCTTCAGTCACGCTCTACTACACAGGCCCACGAGATGCCCTGTGCCACCGTGCATGGTGGTTACTCCTTTTTTGGTTTCCTTCAGCTACGATTCTCCTTCCTCTCCTCTCAGTCTCCTTGATAAATGAGGCTTTTCTGTCCCAACCTTTAAAACAGACAGTTCTCCAGGTTCTGTTAGTATTTTTTTACCTACACATTTTTCTCACCAATCCCAGGCTTTAACTGTCATCACTGTGTATCTGCAAGAGAACTTCTGGGTAGCTCGTTGTTCAGAAGTTTATTTCCTGGCCTAGATTATTGTACTGCCTGACCAGTCTCCTCTCCCTGACATCCATCTTTCTCCCTCTTGCCACAGAGGAGTGATTCTAGCGATTAGAGCATTCACTATCCCTCTCAAAAACCTTTAATGACTCCATATTGTAAGAAAATTCAAACTCACTGTGACATTTTCAACCTCATTTCCTACTCTCTCCCTTCTATTCACATGTACCATATAAATTCAAACTTTTCAAACTATTACAAGCCTTACATCTTGGTCAAACCCATGCCTCAATTAGCCAAGCATACTTAGCATTTCTTGGATTTGTTCATGCCTATGATTTACCTCTAATGAGGTACCCTTCTCCATCCTTATTTGTCCCGAGCTTATCTTTTAAGCCAACTCAAGGATCATCTCCTTAAAAACTGTTAAAAGAAACAATTACATCTCTAAATCCATGTATCACATTGTGACTCTCATGGTAACATTATGCTCTGAGCACTTTTTTTCCCTACAAACATGTCTTTCCCATTGGACAGAAAGTATTTTTATGGGTAGGGGCTACATTTTTACTTTTTACCCTCTCTAGCTTTCAACACAATGCTTGTTCAAAATTGGAGCTCAATCAGTGCTAGTAAAAACAGGCTAGCACCCCATTATCTCCAGTGCCTAATGCATATTAACACTTAGTAAATACATGTTTAATCAGTAATAAAATAGATGGGTAGTTGAACAGGTGAATTTTAGCTCTCAATTATCTTAACCTTTGGCTAGGCCAGACTTCCTAGAAAATTTCATTTCAAATTTCTCTTTCCATTCTCCTTTTCTCCAATTACATAGAATATTTTAACAGCTATTTTTAATAAAAATATTTCTAACATAATTCTAATCTCCAGTCTATGGGTCATGTGTTTCAGATTTATTTAATATACCAAATTATAACAGTGGTAAACCATTTACTACATTCAATTTAAATATTTTTTTGAAATGTCATAATTTGACTTTATTTCTAGTTTATTAAAATTTTGAACATAACCAGCAAATGACTAATACCTGGTTTAATATAGCCACAAATATAAATAGGGTCAACTAAGGACAAAAGGCAATAGGATGTACAGATCTCTTATTTCCTCTCCCCACTCTCAAATTTTAAGAAATATATAAATAAATGATACGTGGTGTACCATTAATAAAGTGTGGAAAGGAGTACAAAAGCACACAGAAGATAATTACCAGGAACTAGCATAGTGGATGTGAGTTCTGGAGTTTCCAAGAAATCCACGTTACTTCTTTGGAATGTCTTGCTATAATTCGTCTGAAGGTGGCTGTATAAATAATTACAGGTTAAGGTGGTACATTTTTATAACAATCTTACTGTTTTGCAGCAGAGTTCAAATTCAGTAGAGAAGGCAAGGTTTTGGATGGTTTGGATTAAGTGCCTTTTTTGTCATTTAGCCTTAAAGAATCAAAGTGATCATTGTCATCAGAAATTGTTTTTAAGAGATTTTTTTCTAACAGAATATTAATTCTCTACAGAAGATAAAACAATAGGCAGTAAACTTTAATTGCAGCAAGAAGTTTAAATAGAAGGAAGGATAATTTTGGCTGTCAGGATGTTTAAAAAATAGAATAGCTAAGAGGAGGGAATATAGATTTTCCATCCCTAGAGAATAGAAATAAAAATCATCTAAAAGTGTAACCTGAAGCACAGAGCTGAATTAAGTTGCCTTTAAAGCTCCCTTCTGTGCTTGAAATTCTATTGATATCATTATGCATTATAGCACAAAATGCCTTAAAATAGCCACAAAAGTATAAACTTGTAGATTATATATCAACTAAGTTTCCAGGTATTTCCATGACATACCTAACACCCTAAGTAGCGACTTACTGGCGAGGGCTATATTCTGTGTGTCATTTAAAACCAACTCAAAGAACCTTTTATATATATCACAGAATAGCAAACATTTCCTTCATCCCAATTTTCTAATTATATATTTGTTGCTTATTTGTAATTTTAATTTCAAAGAAGTTGGTTTTATTTTTAACTTTGAGAAATAACTGAAATATACCTAGTCAATATGTACAACATAATGATTTGATAAATATTGTAGAATGATTACCAAGCTGATTTATTTTTAAATCTTTCTGAAAGTCTTTAATTTCCCCTTTATTTGCAGTGTTTAAAGACATTTAGAAAAATTATTAAGCTGTGATTTTAACCATTATATATGTAGTTTTATTGTAAAATAAAGTAACCTCAGAGCTTATGAAAAGTTAGAAAGTAAAATTTGTTGTCCTTCCTTTTCTGTGTCCTTTGTTTACCACCTACCCTCACGTACACCCATGGTCCATATTTAAATCTAATTACCTGAAAGTATTAGTGAAATGGTAACACACTTAAAGTGGATCATTACCAAAAGTATTTGTGCCTCAAGAGGAATATGGTTTCTAATTCATGAAATAAATTCCAAAAGAGTGGGGCTTAAGAACATGAGCAAATGGGACAGGTTTTAAAGCAAGATAAAGGGAATGGAGCTTTTCCTACAAGTTCTAAAATTACATCATGTAAATTGCCACTTCCTTGAAAATAAACAAAAATAAGGCTTGCTGGAGCTCTGTCCTCTCGCTTTAACTCTAAAACCCTCTCACTTGCTCTCCTAAAAAAATAAAAAATAAACAAAAATTAGGCTTGCTCATAGCTTACCTATTCCATACACTACTATTCTCCCAGAACTCATAAATCATGTAGCGAGATTCATTTGAAAGCTTCTGTATAGAAATACTGAAATAGAAAAGGTATAATTAGGCATAGGAAATTAAAGAAAAGAAGCAAACTGATCAATCTTACCCATTCACACAGGAAACACCTATGGTGCCTGCATGAAAATAAGTGTCAAGCATTGATTACTTCGATATGTCTGTTTGACAGCAATTTTTTAGTTTTCTGGTTTGGCATCATGAAGACTATGCCAGTATATTATACACATCACAAATAAACCTCTGTAAAATTTCATTTATTCACTCAAAAAGATTTACTCAATATGTGTTGTGCCAGGGTTCAGTAAAAGTGTCCGCCACCACCCTTACCCTCCGATGTAGCTCTTTGGATCAGTCCTGTCAACCTCCATAGCTCTAGCCAAACTCTTGGCTTCAGCCCTAACCCTGGATTGGCATTTTTGTTTGGGATCAACCTCCATAGCTCTAGCCAAACTCTTGGCTTCAGCCCTAACCCTGGATTGGCATTTTTGTTTGGGATCCTGCTACAAACCTGTTGAGTCACAGTGCTACACCCTCAGCTTTCCCTCTGTCTACACACACACACACACACACACACACACACCCCTGTTGAGTCACAGTGCTACACCCTCAGCTTTCCCTCTGTCTACACACACACACACACACACACACACACACACCCAGCTTTCCCTCTGTCTGGGTCAAGTGTTTTTTTAATTTCTTTTCCAGTTTAGAGAACACAAATTGGTTCCTTGGTTCCTTCTGGCCCTCTGACCAGCCTGAGTGACCAAAAGCTGTTTTGGAGGAGTGAGGGGGAGGGATAGCTGAAAAGACCAATTGAGGTGAAGGGTAGACTTTAACTTGGAACAATGAGGAGCTACTGAAGGAGTTAAAGCAAGAAGGTGTCATGGTTAGAGCTGGGTTTAAAAAGCTGCTTCTGAGGAGTGAGGTATCTTATGGAGAACAGTCATACAGAGCAAGAATGAAGCTAGAAAGCTGGTGAAATTGCTGAGGTGAGTGACAGTAAAGGTCCAAATTATAGTAGAAAGAAAGGAGGAGGCAACATAAATTTAAGGGAGAATGTGATGACTATAAAAAGTAACTCCACAAAGAACGGGGAACCCTCCTACACTGCTGGTGGGAAAGTAAGCTAGTTCAACCATTGTGGAAAGCAGTATGGAGGTTCCTCAAAAAACTAAAAATAGAATTACCATTTGACCTAGGAATCCCACTCTTTGGAATTTACCCAAAGAATACAACTCAGATTCAAAAAGACATATGCACCCCTATGTTTATCACAGCACTATTTACAATAGCCAAGATATGGAAGCAACGTAAGTGTCCATCAGTAGATGAATGGATAAAGAAGGTGTAATACATATACACAATGGAATACTATTCAGCCATGAGAAAGAAACAGATCCTACCATTTGCAACAACATGGATGGAGCTGGAGGATATTATGCTCAGTGAAATAAGTCAGGTGGAGAAAGACAAGTGCCAAATGATTTCCCTCATTTGTGAGTATAACAACAAAGCAAAACTGAAGGAACAAAACAGCAGCAGACTCACAGACTCCAAGAAGGGACTAGTGGTTACCAAAGGGGAGGGGTGGAGAAGGGAGGGAGAAGGGGATTGAGGGGTATTATGTTTAGTACACATGGTGTGAGGGGTCATGGGGAAAACAGTGTAGCACAGAGAAGGCAAATAGTGAATTCTTAACTATACTGATGGACAGTGACTGCATTGGGGTATGGGTGGGGACTTGATAATATGGGTAAATGTAGTAACCACATTGTTTTTTCATGTGAAACCTTCATAAGAGTGTATGTCAATAATACCTTAATAAAAAATTAAAAAAACAAATAAAATCATACCAAGTTTAGTTGCAGTGTGGAATTTAAAATACCAATGAACTGTTAACACTGTTACATTAAAATCTATTAAAATCTGAAAAAAAATTAACTCCACAAGTCTTGCTTGTTCAGCCTCATGTTTTACAGTATAATCAAATTAGAAACCAAGCTGAGAGGCTAGAAAAATAAGGATACTGATTATAACATACCAGTATAATAGTCAAACTAAATGTAGATTTAGGACTTACTTCAGTGTGACCAGCAGATGGTGGTAACTATACACAATTTTAATACTCCTGTGTAGCCCTTTGCCTGTAAGTAGTTCTAATGTTTTTCTAGCTTGCTTCATTCAGGTATTATGTGGCAAATATTGTTAGCTCAGTGTGGGAGCAGCAGTCCATCTCCATGTCTATAGGTGCTTACAAGGGGTTGGGGGAGAGGGGAGCATGCACTGGATTGGAGAGGTTTCTTTTGGTTTTTCTTCCCAGCCAGGAAGGGAAGAGACATGGGTGAGCAAAAGTAATCGACTTCTTGCAAGCAATAAATGGGTTTCTCCCACTTTATTTTTTCTCTTTGACTGATTTCTACTTCAAAGGTTTATTTGCCCTGGGCTAGGAACACATTTTCCTCCTGGAGTTACACTCAATTTCAGATTTTGTGGGGTAAAGGTTTATAACAGAATAATAGCAACTGAATACAAGGGGAAATCATAGATTTTCTAATCCTAGGAGTTCATGGATGGGCTTTTGAGCTGGAGTGGGGTTGGGGTGGGATTCCTTGAAATCCCAGAAATGAGCTGCAATGTGCATTTCTGTTTTTTTCTGAGAGGAGAATCCACAGCTTCCGTCATAGTCGCAAAGGGTCTGTGAACTACAAACATAACCTGATAATGTAACGGGCAAATTTCAAACCATGACTACTTTTTTTTTAGGATAAAATAAAAAATACTCAGTCTAGCATTTTCATGAAGAACTGCCTGGTATAAACTAACTCATTTGTGTTACTTACTATATTAAAAACCCACTTATCCTGCTATCTGAACCTTCCATTTTTCCACAGTAGCCATAAAACTAAGAAATTTACAAAATTACAGCATAATTCTCAGCTTTTGAAGAACTAAAGATGAAAAACAGTGTGATAAGGTAGCAGTTTGAAGTATGGCCCAACAGGCTAACTTCACCCACCACTTAACTAGCTTTGTCTCCTTGAGCCCCTTATTTAACCTCAGTGATCTCATCTGTAAGACAGCAATAATAGTATTATGAGGATTAAATAAAATGTTGCATATAGAATACTTAGCCCAGTACTTCAGGTGTTTGTGCGTGTGTGTATAGTGTCTGTGCACGTTCATGCTTAATTAGCTGTTAGCTCAATAGCTAAAAAGAAAGCACTTTCACTGTGTGAGTAGTGAAAAGTAAGCTTTAGTGGTATCAAAGTTGAGAAGCATGACAGAAGTAAAAAGGACAGGAGAGGGGGGGAAAAAACAAAAGACCATAAAAGAAAGTGAAGACACACATATCTGTGCAAACGGAAGCAGCAAGCCAATAACAATAATTTTTATACACTATTATAGCTATGAATAATAATGGTGATGATTGCTAATGTATACTGCTCTGCTCCAGGCCCTGGTCTAAGCATTTTACACAGATTAAGGCATTTTATCATCACAGTTATTCTGGCATGATATGGCAAACACTTATCTGTTGCCTCGCCAACTATACTCCCTCTAACAGAATCCTGCCACTGTTCAGTTTGCAATATAACCAGTGTACCATTCAGCGCTGGACTGACATTTTTATGACAACCTCACTCCTTTTTGCTGCACACTTGTTTCCTAACAGCCCCTGGAGTCAGGAATGACCATGTCACATGAGTTGGGCCACTGAGATGCCATGGGAAATATGCTGGGACGGAAGGCTTTGGGGAAATGTTTGCATTCTTAGGCTCAGACACGAGAGGAGGACTTGTGGATATTACTCCCTTCCCTTTGTTCCTGACTGTCGGCCATCTGGTGAAGAGCCAGATGGCGGGGCTGACAGAAAGCCCAGTGCAGATTTTGTCCCAAAGGGACAGGTGTGAAAATGCTAATCAGAACTGCTCTACAGACTTTCAGTTAAGTGTGAAACTGACCAATATATACCAATGACATTTAAGGATATTGCTATTTGAGACTATACAATACAGATGATGGTGATACATATGCAATGATGACACTGCCAGCAAGAAAAGGTTAATTATGAAGTGATTTTTAGAAATATTTATCTCAGTAATATTTCTGTTAAAAAAGACTTAGAGCTTTCATGATTAGCTGTCAATTATTTGCAAACTCAGAATTACATTATTCAATTATTTGCAAACAGAATGACTTAGAGCTTTCATGATTAGCTGTCAATTATTTGCAAACTCAGAATTACATTATTCAATTATTTGCAAACAGAATTGCACAGCTCAGAGCTGGTGCTGTGTGACTAACTAAACACCTTCAGTCTTCCTCCTCAGTCGGTTCATACTTTCTGTGACACTTAACACCTGCTGAAGTGGGAGTTCTCTGGCTCAGCTGTCCCTGGATGCCCTTAGGAGCTTCAGCCCTGAGCTCTGAAAGACCTTGAATATTCCCAACAGCTGGAAAATGTCAGTGAAATGGCTTCTAGGGGAAAAGGAGGTGGCTCAGGAACAGCGGGGGTTAAAGATCTCACCTGAGGCGATGACAGGACTCCCCGGCTCTCAGCTGCCTTCTCTCTCCACGTGCCCTACCTTCCCTCAGAGCCTAACCACTGCAGAAAAGGCACAAGTCTTCACATTTCTCCACACCAAGTTCTGGCTACCAATTTCATCTATAGGAAAATGCTGATAAATGATGCATGGTTCAGTGTGCAACAGGTACTATTCTTAAGGACGATTCTTTGGCCATGGCACATCTCAGGGTTGACACTTAGAATACAAGTCCCCATGCATGTTTCTTAAGACCTTAACATGGAACTGAGAATACAAATTCTAGAATTTCATAGCTGAGAGTGACTTCAGAAATCATTTTATTCTACTTAACAGCTGTGAAATTTTAAGCCATGAATTGCTCATGAATGAGCATCCTAGTTTCCCAACTGGATTTTAAGATCCTTAAAAGGAGAAACTATTTTCACCTTTTCTGATGTCAAGTATCTGAGAATACAGTGTGTAAAACACATATATTCAGTCAGAACTCACTCCCCCATGCCAAACAGATCAATGAGCCTTCAGGATTACAAAATAAGCAACAAGAACATCAAACAATATGTGTGCACATGTGTATGTGTGTGGACATGTGCATGTGTGTGTGTTATACATGGGTCACATAATTGATCTGTTGGGTTTAAAACTCAACTGATGGCTCTGACAAGGGTTCTGTCAGCCCTCAAACCTCTGAGTCTCCTAGCCAAATACCTGGAGGGCAAAAACCTCTCTAATCCAGTGGCCTGAACTGAAGAAAGTATTACCTTGTGGTTGGAACTGAAGGGATCTTGTTCATTCTACCCCTGCTTAGCCACACAGAAAGTCCAGGAAATTCAAGAATGACCAAATATTCTCAAGAAGGATTAAACTTGGGTTTTGCAGCCTAACTTGGGCAAGTTGGTTAACACCCCCAAGCCTACTTCCTCCTAAACTGGATGTAAAACATACCTCAGATGATTGCTGGGAAGATAAAATGAATACAAAATGCCTAACTAGTAAATGCTTAAGTTCTATTTTGAGGTAGCCTTTCCTGTCTAAACATGGTGAGGCTGAGCCAAAAATCACGGGAAAAGAAGAAACTGCAAAACTCTGATCATTCACAGAGCTTTTCATCAGCCAAGCACTGGGCAGTCATGCTGTGCCCACTGGAGCAGGACTGATGGCATGAGTGACCTGTCTGATTGTTCCATTGGTACAGAGAGAAAATTGAATTGAACTGGTACAGCAGCATGATGTGTTTTCCTCATACTTTCCATCCATGTGGAGTGATCGAATCTCTGAAGCTCATTCTATCTGATAGTCTTTTTTCATAATTCTAGTAAAAGAAAGAAATTAGCTGAAAAATCAGCAATAAGAAGTGAGTGAAGAGTCATTAAAAAGCAGACCAGTCTTGCAGAGGAAAAGGGCAGCTGAGAGTCTCACTTTCTCTTTCCAGAAAAGGATACTTTCCTTTCCCCTACTTCACAGTGGGAGCCAGGGGAGCACATTTTCATGGTTATTGGGGGAATGGAGATAGCGGTGGGCAGCACAAACACACCTACTCTCTTACTCTTCCGCAGCCTGTTTCTCTCACCCTGGCCTGTACTGGCAGCTTCAGGTAGTTTTCACAGCACACAAAACAATATTTCTGAACCTTAAAAAATAATCAAACTTTGTGCCTTTTTAATAAAGGTAAAAAAATCTAACCTGTCCCTGGAGATTGTCAGACACAAAGCCAGCCTTTCTCTTCTTTCTGTCCTCACTATCCAGGGAAGTCTACTGTGCTCTCCTTTCTGCAGTTTATTCTGTGGCTGGTATACATGTTGATATCAATATCTATGTTTTTTGCATTTTCCAGATATTCACTTTTTATTTCAAAATATTTTTGACATGTATTTTTATATTTTTATCTATTTTAAACTTGTTTTTATTTGACTAGGCTTTTTAAATCTACGTATATTCTTCCTTTGGCAAATTTCTCTAAACTCACAGAACTGAAAGGACTAAAATGGGGTTTTTAGTTTGTGCCCTTCTGAGCATGATGTGAGGAAGTTAACAAAAAATGGAAATACAGCATTTCCTTTGCTTCTGTTGCAAAGACAAAACTGGGAAGACGGTGAGTTGTTAGTCCTTAATGGCACCGAGCAAGTCCTCTCTCCTCGAGCGAGGCGGGAGGCCGGACAGGAGGGAGGGAGCAAGGGCAGCTCTCGATTCCTGCCTGCCCGCATGGCGGCCGCTTGCCGAGCACTCAGGTAAATCCTTGCAACCATCTTATGAGGTTCTTGATGAGGAAACTGAGACTAGAGGCAGTAAGAACCTTTCCCAAAACCACAAAGCTAATACAATCCCATGTTTAGTTCCAGAGCTGGACTTCTTAGCTGGGGAAGTATTCTTCTGGAGTATGAATAAAATGGAATTAGTTACTGTGAAGAACACGAAGGCCCTCAGAAACATAGCGTATGGGTTTCCATGGGTGTGTATGCACACACATGTACATGTGTGTGCAGTTTAAATGAACTCCCGAGGTAGATTAGATTTGCCTTCAGCAGTTTTCCAGAGGCAGGGGAGCTGGGGGCTGGGCTTTGGACTTGAGGCAAAGCTTGGGCTTGGCAGAGATCTGCAGCTGGGAGCACATTTCTGGGAAGGAGGGTGGCCAGGGCCAAGGCACAGATTATACCAGGAGGCTACAGGCAGCCGGGCAGTGCTGAGGCACAGTGCTTGGCTGAGCGAGAACAAACAGCAGTGCTAGGGATGGGGAAGGACAGAGGAAGGGTCAGGATGAACATTTGGTAAGATACTCATCAGAGAACTCTAGCTTCCTGATTCAGGGGATTCTGCAGTGATTGCTGCTGGATAATTATTCTAGTAGCTGTTTAGACCCATTGGAGTGGAGAAACTGAAGATGAGGAATAGTTAGTATATTTTAGTAGCCTGAGATAACAGAAGCCTGACCTGAAGTAGCTGTGATTTTTTTCTTTTCTCTTTTTTTAAACGATCAAGGTCTGCAATCAAGACTTCAGAGATTGTGCAATTTCATAATGGCTGAAACGGTTATTAGGCCATAGGGCATGTTGCCAAGGGAGCAATCAGAGCTAGATGCCCTGGAGTCGGGGCCTCATCTACCAGAGACGATTTTAAATTAGAGTGTGGGCCTGCCGGGATACAAAATGGAGGATTTCAGTCTACTAGAAACTCCTTTTCTCACTCGAATTGTTCTCTCCATTCTACTTCCCTTGGTGCACCAAGTGACCAAATCCACAGAGTCCAAGGGACAATGAAAAAATACCCAGTTAAAGTCTGCAAAATGCATTACCCAGAGGCTGCAATGATCCACACCAACAGGCGAAGCTCCTCAGCCTCCGGCTCCCAGACCCCACCCTCACCTATGGCGCATGTGCAGCAGCACCTACCGCAGACACCCGCTTTGGGAGGAGGCGCTCTCCACGTAGTGTTTCAGAGCAAGCTGGAATTCTTGCAGGCCCTCTTCCATCACGGACATCTGCCGCTGCACAAGCATGATGTGCTGCGGGGAAGGGCAAGCGTTAAACCACGCCTCTGCCATGGAGCCTCCCGGAAATTGACCCCTTGACCCCCTGCGGCCCATCCGTTCCTTCCCACAAAGCAAACAATCCTCATCTAAAAGGCAAGCCATGGCTGATTCAAGTAATAACATTGTACAATAGCTCTTATAGGCAGGATATTTTTCTTGTCTGTAGTAACAGAACCTAAAGCAAGTGGCCTTCACAATGACTTGTTTCCTTTTTAAGAGCAGTGCTTCTCAAGTACAATTCTCAAGTAGGTTTTAAAATTACACTTACATGTATTTTGTGTATGTATATGCCAGAATCTCTGGCAGTGGGATCCAGGCACTGGTATTGATAAAAACCTCCCCAAGCAATGCTCATGTGCAGCCATGATTGGGGTCACTGGCCTCCTGTGCACAGCATGCAGCTCCAGCTTCTCCTTGGATATTTTGCAATATTAGACATATTGTGAACTTCCAAATTAAAAAAAATACATATTCACTGCTGCATTTCCAAAGAAAGGTACATTGATCTTCACGAGGTTCTCAAACATATTAACTACCTACCAGGGGCCCCACTCCACAACTCATGGCATTAGATGGAGCCTGTGCCCAATTGCTCACACTGGATTGGATGCCAACTGCTTCTTATTAACAAATCCTGGTCTCATTGTAGCACTGGTAGTTTGAAGACTTCACTAAAGACCTGCCATGATATTTTGATCTCAAGATTAGTCCTTCCCTCATCAAGGGTTGGGAGTGAATCATAAAAGTGAAAAAAATAGTAAGGATTGGGGGTGAATCATAAAAGTGCAGAACAATGTAACAATGTAAGGATGATTAAAATATGAGGAGAATAACCTGCACAATACTATCCAGCTGTGTTGCAGTAGAGCCAGAATTAAACGCCAGGTTTACTGTCTCTTATTCCAATGAGTTTCTCCCTTCATGTTAATAGCTACCCTTTGTTGAATATCAATTATATTGTAGGTATTACCTCAGCTGCTCTATATATTTAACAAATGTTCCTACTTTGTGTTCCAACAGGTAAGTAGTAGGTGCTAGAATCAGGCTATATAGTGATGGATCAAAATAAAATTCTTATCTTCATAGGGTTTAGTAAAGAAATAAACAAGGCTTGAAAATTATGTCTTAGGAATAATTTTAGGTATATGGTTAGTAGCACATGAAACTGACTAAATGTAAACTGATCAGTAATCTACTAAATTTCTGACAGAAACCTGTTGCCAAATAAATCTTGATCACAGTCTTAAAATCCTTTGTTTGTTTAAACCTTAAAATAACTTTTGGGCCCCCAAATTCATATGAGCAGGAAGCAGGCTGTGAATACTACATAAACATTAATTCTCTAAGTGGGCTGTTTCCAATAAGCTCATAGAAGATCATGGACCAAAGAACAATGGAAACAGAATTCCTCCCAGAATGGAGATCAGTGTCTAATCACAGAACTTCCTTCACTGATACCTTCCCTTTATGAACTCATTGCAATGAACCAGGGGATGTAGTTTCCTAGTCATCCCTTTTCAGAATGGCGGTTTTTTTGGCATTGATCCTGGTCCAGTTTTATCATTGGTATGTTGTGTGTGTGTGCGTGGCAGGGAGATAACTTACCTCTTTATTCCTAAGTGTGTCATACATCAGACCTCAAGGGACTACATCCTAACCTTGCAGAAGACTGAATATTATCCAGAATTCTGGATTTTGATCTAGAAGCAGAAACTGGAGATTTGGGGTGTCTCTCTTGTGAAGGAGTGTGTTTTATATATCTGAGAAGAAGGATGCATATGAATATTTGATGGCCAGAAAGTAGGCTGTGGCAGAAACTCCAAGCTGTTCATCAAAATCCATTGCTATTTCTAGACACACAGTCCATCAACTTTGCAGTTAAGTGTAGCCAGCTGATGACTGCTCCACAATGGAAGGTGGGCAGCAGTGCCGTGTGCCACCTTGGGGCCAAGACTTTCAGGAAGGATGTTAGCCTCTTCCATGTTAGCCTCTTCCACGTTCTCTCTGCCTTCTCTTTTGGTATGACGAAGATCTGCCTTACGAATGGCAGAGCCCCAGGTGAGAGGAGCGTGTGTCCCTCAATCATTGTGTGGACTGTTTCCTGGGCATGGAACAATTCTCTCTTGTACTGGAATCATCCTACATTTGGGGTCCATTTGTTTCCATAGCCTAGCCACCTTACTGAGTTCATAAATTTTAATTGAGCTTTATTTCCCTTTAGGATCAGGGATCAAGAACCAGTAGATACAAGTCTATAACCATCTCCTAAGGTTGTATAATAATGAATAGTTGGCCTCCAGTATGATTCTCCCAGGACACAGTTTTAATAATAACTGTTATCTCTGCCAAAATATCCAAGAGAATCTGCAGGCACTTCTTGGATCACTGTGATAAACAATGACTCAGATGATTCTCATGGGCTTTCCTAATGAGATATATAATGCATGTACCCATTCCACCATAATTTTCATAGTCTGAAGGCAATTCTTATGTGTTCCAATGTGGTAGATTGCAAATATGACCAGAATCACGCAGTACTCCCCAAACCCACACCCTTTAAAATGTGACTTTTCAGCTTCCTCCTTCAAGACAAGGATTCTGTTTCCCCTTCCCGTGGATCTGGACTGGTCTTCTAACTTGCTTTGGCGAGAGAATGTGGCAGAAGTGACAGTGTGCCAGTTTCAAGGTGAGGCCCCAGGAGGCTCTGTGAGTTTCTACACCTTCTCTTAAACTCCTAAGATTGCCATGTGAACAAGTCCTGCTTGAGCAGGGATCAGCGAACTGTTTATATAGAGCCAGATAGTAAATATTATGGTTCCTGTCCCAACTACTCAACTCTTTTGTTTTAATGTAAGAGAAGCCATGGACAATAAACAAACAAATGAGTGTGGCTGTGTTCTGATAAAATTTTATCTATAAAAACAGGCAGTGGTCTATAGTTTTGTCAGCTCTGGTGCTGGACGATTAAAGACCACATAGAACAGAGCTAAGTCAGTGGATTCATGCCAGCTGAGGCCCCAGACATATGAGAAAGGCCAACCAAGATCAGCAAAGCCGGAATGCAGCTGACTACAGATGCCTTAAGGAGGCTAGCTGAGACCATAAAAATGACACAGTTGGTCCCGCCCTATGTTGCCCACCTGCAGGACTGTGGCTTTTACCACTCCATTTTGGGTGGTTTGTTACACAGCAATGTCTATTTGACTCATTCACTTATATAAATGGATGTGAATATGATTTAGAAAAAATAAATTTACTTTGCAACCCAAACAAGGCATATCTCTCCTCTCCTTTTTTCAGACATTTGCACAAAGAACCAATTTGTGAGGTCCAGATTAATCTGCCTATGTTTTATGACTAGTGTGATAAGTAGAGCTTTTTGAATCTCAGATAATGTATGGTAGACTTTCTGAGATCCAAAGAAAAGTTTTAAATTTTCTGTGCTGGCCAGGCCAAGCTGTAGGGTGTGGAATGTGGGCCCTAATGTCTTCGTGATGTTTCTGTACGGGTCTTATGTCAAATATGGAGCCTGAACTCCTTGCTGAAATCTGAACTCCCGTGCTGTGAATAGCCATCCCAGAGCATTCTCTCACGGTAGAATAAAATAGTGTCACACTTCCATTTCTCGCTTTAGAAGGGCTAGTGCAGCCTTTACCATTTACTATATAGGGATTTTGTTACAGTGGAATTTTGGTGGAGTGATTGGAAATTCTTAGGCTGAAGAATGCTCAGTATGAAGTGTTAATCTTAGTTTGTAGAATAGTATTTGCCAGTGACATTAGGTTATAGTTGCATCTGCCTTTGATTCCTTGGATTTTTTTTATTTCAGGAAATGTCAGCTTTTTTGATCTATGGAGACAGAAATGTTTTTAAATGCAAGTAATTTATTTCATGTTATCTGGCTTTATTTATACATTTACACTTGGATTCCAAGTATGTTTTCAGAAATATGACAGCCGAACATTGTGTGCTCTTGTTGAATCTCTTAGTAACTACTGCAAAGCAAGACTATGTTTTGCTAGTCCCTGACATATTTCCCAATAGACCCCAGTTCACATAAGATTGGATGACAGGATTAATTTGTTTCACAAAATATTATTCACAGGTTTGATAAGGGTAGAAAGGCAGAAAAAGGTACTATATTTGTAAACTCCTACTGTCTGATAAGTTATCCTAGGACATAAAAGTGACGTGCTCAGGAAATCTTAAAGAGTTTTTGAAAAGCACCAGAACGTGATCCAACTTTGTTTAAAATTATATAGGCTTTTTAAAAGCTCCTATAGAACGTAGAATATCTCTGGAAAATGATCATCTCTTTCCAATAGTTGTTTGTGTTTCCAATAGCCATGCACACAATACACATAATGGCACCAGGCAGAAAGGATTCGGTGGATTGATACACCCGGCCAGATCTGGGATGTGCAATCTGGTTGAACGATTCCCTTCAAAGACTACACTGGCCCTTCAATGATGTATACCCACTGCTTAGTACTTGACAGAAGGTTACTCCCCAATAATAAATTACTCCCAAATTTCCAGTGACTCATAAAGTCATGGTCTTGGACTTTAGATCTGAGTTTATATCGATGTACATTTATGTCCTATTTTAGTACAGCAAGAATAAAATCATGGACTCCTAAGGTGATGGTCTTTATGATATGCTTGTTGTAAATCATTTGGAAATTTTGATATTCCTACACAGTATCTTACTGTTCTTTTACTGCAGTGTTAGAACTATTCAATGTTGTAAGAGACATATATTATTTTTAAAAACTTCTATTCTTTTTTATTTCACCATAAACACTGTCATTGTGGAAGCATTCCCTGGTCCCCTAAATTAGGTTGTCTTCCCTTGCTGTGCAAACCCATACTTTCCTATAATAATCCTTATCACATTTTATTGCAGACCTGCATTTCCTTCTAGTCTGTCTTCTAGCCGGTAATATCCACCACTTTACCTCCAGACCCTCCCACAGGTCCTGGCACATAGTGATCAAGTTATTTGTGGAACAAACAAGTATAAGATGTTTTTGCTTTCAGCCACCGACTGTTCTTAAAATTCCTTTAATGAACTTCATTTATACACTATCCATTCCAGAAAAGGACTTGAGGTGGTCCTGAAAACTCTAGAGCACTGCAGAGTTGCTAGGTGCCCTTATCTGTCTCCACCATCTTGTCCTTTTCTCTTTCTTCTTTCTCCTTTAAGAGCAAGGGGTACAAATTTAAAGGAATTAGCTTCACTTTTACCACTATATGCCCTTGACCAAGTTGCTTAATTTTTCTCATCTTAAATCTTCTGATACATAACACTGGACTAGAGGTATCACAGAGTTTGGGGGCAGATATGGAATAGTGTATGTAAAGATCTTGCTCATGATAGATAAAAATGTTACTGCTCTTACTCCACACTGAGGGGGAAAAAATGGACTTAAAAAAAGAAATTATATCCTAGCTCATAATTATGTGATGGCTCATGTCCCAGAAAACAAGATATGATGGGTTCTTGAGCTCAGGACTTTTGCTGGGTGCTTAAATAAGCCTACCAGATAGTCTGCTCTGCTCTCATGGTAGGAAATCTCATGAAACAGAGTCATCTGTTTACTAACGAAGTACCCAGAAATTCACCAAACACCAGAGTTGCAATGCCATAGTGTGGTGACAAGTGTAGGTCTGGTGTAGAAATGCTGGGGTTTGACTGTGGTATTTGAACCTTTCTACATCTTAATTTCTTCATCTGTAAAATGGGGCTACCAATAGTACCACCTCACAGGGCTTTTAGGAGGAGTAAGGGAATTATGTGTATGTGTGTTTGGCATAACGCTTGGCACATAGCAAAGGCTTGGTAAATATTAGCTTTTAGAAAACAAAGTATATGATACAAATTTATTCTTTGCTGTCTGATGTGGAATTTCATTTTCAAAGTTCTCAGGCATTCACTAATGGAAAGGAAAAATACCTCCAGTCAATGAATTCTAAAGCTGGTTCTCATCACCAGGATAAATCAGTGAACACACAGTAGCATAAAGTTATGAGTGCTAGCTGTGAAATAACAGTGAAAATTTGTCTTGGTCATTCTGAATATAAGAGGTTTTATAGGAATTGATAGTGACAAATGTACAACCACTAATGAAAAAATACAACTTTCAGTGACAAATATCTCATTGGTATTTCTGAAAAAACAGAGTAGTTCAAACCATTACTGTATGTGTACTCCCGAAGAACATAATAATTTCACCTCTATACACAGTTGAAAATAGTTAAGGAATATCCTTTCCTGCCTTTAAATGATAATGTCTACCATCTTGCCCAGTCCAACTTTTTTTTAAAGTACTTCTCTGCACTATTGAACAAGTAATTCTGTGTGGGTTGATATAGCTTTTAAAATCGACATTGGCCTCTCTCTTTTGTCAGGGACCAGAGAATAGAACAGTCTATCATCTTTCATGGACCATCCTTAGACGATTTTTCACCCTCATAGCTAGTGAGAGAACAGTCTCACATTAGGAAATTATTTGAGAATAGACAGTTATTTCTCCCAACATTAGAAATGTTATGTTCACTTTTCTCAGCTGGAGTGCAATTTTCCCTACATGCAAATTTAAGAGAAGATGCAGAGGCCAGATCACAAGGTTACAACCCTGTGGCTGTGGGAGCACAGTCCCATTGATCCTAATCTGTGCACGTGACACCCCTCTCCTCTCATCTTCCCACCACCAAAATCTACTCTTTCAAATTCTGGGTGCCTGATGAATTCACATAAGACCATGTCCCTGTCTTTGGACGAATGAGTCACTGGACACACAGTGAAAATATGTACAGATTGCATTTGGAGAAAGTGTCCATATCTACAGAATGCTAGTCAAAATAGCCACTCTCAAACTTTTCCGAGAACCTCCCCACCAGAGCTTCCTCTTAGCAGACTCCCTTCATGCTCTGAGCTTGAACAGACCGGGAGCTGACACAGGGATCTCCTCCCTTCTATCATGCAGACAGTGCCTTGGAATAAGTGCATAGATAAGTACAGAGATAAAATGCATTTCCTCTCTGTCTCATGTAATGTGACTCATCCTATAAGATCTATACAGCCTATAATACACTGAAGGCATTAAGAAAAAGTGATTTTCTGTGAATAACCAAGATTTTAAAATCCAAATTTTTACTAAATGTAAATGCCAACATCTGATTCTCCCAAACAGAATGTGCAATAAATATTTGCCTAAAAAATAAAGTAAAATAACAAAGCATGACTGTGACGCTTTTTAGTAAGTTAATTTATTCACTAATTTTTCGGATGCTTCTTAGTGTACCCTATTAGGACCACTTTGTCCATTTTCTTTTAATCTCCATGAATTACTGCCATTCTGGATAGACATCTTTTGCTTATGGGCATAAATGCTCCCTTTCCTCTAAATGCCACATTTTTTGAAAAATGCCTTTAAGCAGCTACAGTGTGTCTAGCCCTGGGTTAAATGCTGGAAATACAATAACAGGATCATGTTTCAACTGAGGTGTAGCACTTGGCCTAGCAGGGTTTATAAAATGTGTTTATAATACAATTTAAACACTGCACTTCTCTGCCAGTCATATTCATTCAATTATTCAATAACTCACTGATTTATACATGCATAAAATGTTCATTTTGCACATACCACATGCCAGGTGCTTTCACAGAAACCCTGTGAAGTGGGCATTAGGTTCCCATAAATCACAATGTAGAAAATACTACTTAGCCAGGCAAAATGAGATCTGCCCATTTATTATTTACTTTCTCAAATTTTAACTGAGAGTAAGTAATTTTGGAGAAATTAAATGTTTCAAATACATATTTCTAAAATTTTTACTGACAAAAAGTACTTACAGACTTAGTATTTCCTTCAATAACTTCTTCTTCCAGTGGTTCAAGTTTGAGATCCTGCAGTTAGAGGAAGAAATGGGGCAGGGCGGGGCAGGGCACCAGGAATTAGTTAATTAAAAGAAACACCATATATTTGAAGGGTAGCTGTGATATGGCTAATATTGTACCAAAAGAAGCACATTATCTGAATTCTGATTCATAGAGTTAAGATGTTCCAATAAAGACTCTTTTACCCATTTATTTATCAATTGTAAGGAGCCATTTCAGATGTGTTCAGTTTGTTTTTACTTTTAAGTTTACTGATGGCATGAAAAGAGAGCAATGTGGAGAGAGGACTCATTAACCAGGGGGAGGCCAGGACAGCAAAAAAGAAAAAGTGAGAATGACCAGGCCGAGGCCTTTTGCTGTGAGTCTCACCATGTTTCTTGAGAGATGATGACAGGCGTTAGTGCTACTGCTACGCTTGCACTGTAGTGACCATTTTGCTAATTAAAAGGCAAATAAAAGTGCTATTGAAATTTGCTAGAAATGAAGGAATACTGTAAAGACTCTAGAGTTTTCAGCGATGATTGATGGAAAACGCTAATGTCCCTGGTAAAACCAACCATGTCATCTCTGAGGACGTCATTCCAAGAATGTCTCCTAGAACTTCTGCTAAGTGAGGATTATGCACAATAATTCCTTTAAATAAATAAGTAAATTGAAAGTCACAAAAATCCAGAATGTCTGAAGTAACACAAGCCTTTTAATAACAGAGCTATGCAGCTCTCTCTCACTCTGCTGTTCTCCTTGGCGGAACTTTAGGCAAGGTGTTTTTCTCTAGGATTCACTTTTATTGTTGCCCCTGCATGGAATTCTCTATCCCCAGCTCTTCCCCTAGCTGGCTCCCTGTCTTTCACACCTCGGCTCAAACACCACCTCCTTAGAGCAACCTTCCCAGATCAACCATGTAACTGTCCAACCCTGATTTCTATCACATTGCACTTCTTCTTCATAGCACTTTTCACCAGCAGGAAATTGTTTATTCAATTCATTTACTTGGATTTTTTTCTGTCTCTTTGGGACCAAAGACCCCACCTATTTTAATCACTGCTGAAGTCCCACTGCCAGAATAGAACCTAGCATAAAGCAGACATTCGAACAGTAGTTGAGTAAATGAACGGCCCCACATGAATCACATCTTTTCTGTGAAGGCAAAGTGATGTAATGCATACAGATGTGAACTGAATCTTAAAATGCACCCTACAGATAGAAACTGTAACAGCAGTAAGCTCCTCGACTGCTCCTTCCATGACACCGACTCAGGCACACTTTTCACTTCTTCCTTCCCTGATCTAAGATAGGAAAAACTTCAACAACCTGTATGAGTGCAGTCTCCTTAGTTACACCCCTTCCGATGAGGATGTCCTATGTTCTGATGACGACTTCATGAAGATTGAACAGGTTTTGTTTTAACATTAAAGGTGTTTCCTTCAGAGTTCAAGCAAAATATGAAATCTAATCTCAAAATCTCCGTAAGTACTCAGTAGAGGCCAAAATGGAAAGAAGGAATGCCTAAAGAAACTTGCAGAAATTTCAGGTATTATTTTTCTCCCCAACATGAATGGTATCAGGCTTGGTTTAGAGTGCAGAAAAGCTTTATCATAAATAAGTGGTGGAGAAAAAGATAACATGTCCACCACAGGTGCACTTCCTCCTAATGGGGAGATCAAACCTACCACCAACAGCTACAGAGACAAGACAGTACTGAAATGACATGCACTTAGCTACTATTTGGCAATTGGGTAGTTTTTGCTCTAAAAACTTAATTCTCCACAATACAGAATCAGTTGTAGGAGAACCTGAACTTGCATTCTTCTCTATTAATTAAGACACATTGTGCTGAGTACCACACAGCTGGAGCCTCAGGCTGAAGACCATCTCTTCATACTTTCAGCAAACCTCTCAGACACTGTCCTCAAAACCAACTCCTTTCATTGGAAGAGAGGGAGGAAAATGTTTAGGAATGAAAGAGACATGACAGTACTTTGATTTAAAGTTTGAGAAAGAGATACAACCTAAGTTCAAGCTATTCCTTTACAAATCACTAAATAAATTTAAGATACTAAATAAAGGCATGTTTGCCAATAACAACTATTTTAGAAACAGGTATTTGTGTTCTTTAAGTGATTCCAAAATTATATAACAACTGAATCTTTATGCTTCAATGAGCTTTGGTTTCCAAATAGGGTTCATTAATTTCCAGGCCTTCCACCAGTGGAAAACTAATTTTTGTAACTGCTCTTTTTCCTATGAATCTTTTTAGTCTCAGCTCACATATCAATTAATGAAATTAGGAAGGAAGAGTAGATTTGCAGCAAGCTCTCAGTTTATTAGTCTCATAAGAGGTCAAGGTACATGTAACAAAGGATGACATGGTGACCTGCTTCCTCTGCACTGGGTTCTTTGTACCAAATCTCCTTCTCAGAGAGCCTTCTCATCCGAAGGCCTTGCGGTTTCATCTTTGTGGAGCTGGCTTTTAAGATCTTAATCTGTTAACCTGATTTTGCTCCTACTAACATCTGAACATTTCTGCCTAAGGGTCCTATCATATCTTGAAATTAACACATCTGATAAACCAGTTCACCTTCTCACTTCACTCATTATCTATTGCTTGTCCCTTCTTTTTCTGATAATGGTATAATTGTCTCAGACACTCAGGCTCAAATCCTCAGATTCCTAATGGAGAGTCCCCTGTCCTTTACCTGTCCATTGCTCATTCAGTGGTCCTGTTAATTTCACATCAAGTCTTTTAAATATGCCATTTTCTTTTCAGCCGCTTAGTATAGACCATCTCTTATAGCTGACCCCAGTGAGCTCAGATCTAAACCTGCTTTATAATGCCATTGTTTGAGCTGGCTGTAACTTTGAGTTTTCTTGTTTGAACCCATTTGCACTCTTGCTGTCCAATTTTATATCTAAAGGATCTTTTGGTAATGTCATTTACCTGATGAAAAATAATAACTACCTCCTATTGCCCACAAGACCAAGTTCAAATCCCTTAGTCTATTGTTGAAGGCCGTCCATAATATAGCCCCCATGTATCCATTCAATCTTACTGGTTGCCTAAATGAAAGAGTCTAACCAGGCTGGTTTGTTTACCTTTGCTCATGCCATCATCTTACCTGAATGCCCTTTCTAGCTGCTGTTTACTCAAATTTTACTTTTCCATAGGAAATATTTATTAGTTTGTTAGCTAACTAGCATTTATTTCAATTTTAATGACAGTAAATTTTCCTTTCAGTGTATTATCTCTTTAATATAGTGCTCTGGGACTGTTAATCAAGGTGTTTTCCCTATCCAAGAGGCAGCATGTGACCCTAATAAGACCATCCAGATTCTCCACCCTGGAAACTGGAATCTGGAGCAGAATGTCAACAGACTGGAAGTGGCTGGAACTCACTTATTTTAGTGGAGGGAACCTGAGAGACCCTACTTACTTAGATCTCTAGAGTTCTGTCTGCTGACTTTTCCTGAGTTCAGATCCCTAGACTGTTGATTCTGGGAACACTCCCACATCCTTCCAGAAAATTCTTTTTGATTAAAGAGGTGATTTCTGTTGCTTGCAATCGATTTCCTATTCCTAATTGTCATCGTTTTTAAGACCCAACTTAAGCCCTTCCTGCCACATGAGGTACTTCCTGAGAATCCTACATGCAGTGGTCATTCTGTCAGTAAGTATCTGTAGATTTCAGCAACTGCTTTACTCTTTGGAAATGTCTCAGTCAGCAAATATTTACTGAGCATTAACTAGGAACCTGATTCTGTACCACCACATACTTAAAAACAGATTAACTCATTTTTGGGGGGGAATGTAATTTTACAGGCAGACTCTTGTTTCTCCAGAGTCAGTAACTCTGTCTCACATAAGTTTCTTTTTTGATGTCTGGCATGCACAGAAAACACATATTCTTGCTGATTGATAAAGGCCCTCTTCCATCAAGATCTATAAGGGAATATCACTACAGTATCAGGACTGGTTGGTACTAATTGAATTAATCAATAAAAATACAGTAACTGGAAACATATAGTTGTGAAGAACTCTTCACAATGTCTTAACCTGCTTGCTAACTATAAAATCATCAGTTAATATGTTAATTTCTAGATGTTGAGTATGCAGTCTCATCTTTTAGTGTATCACACAACCATTTGCCTGAAACATTCCCAAGACATCAGTCAGGCCACCAGTAAGGGCTGTCATTTGTGTCATTCAAACACACTGCTACCTATGGCACTGATAACCAGAATCAGGCAGTGCAGTATTTAATTTTCAACACTCCATCCTATTTTAAGAATAACTAGGGGGTAGGAGAAGTGAAAATTAATGTGAGCTTCTATATTTAACAAAAAACCGAAATAACTATCAAGCAGCCATTCACAGCATCACGGGGATCCTGGCTGGTATTCTATCTACGAGGCAGCCATGGGTGTTAAAGCAATGAGAAATAATGGGTCAGAATCTGTTGAAAAGTGAGAGGAAGAAGAAAGAAAAGGAAGCACCCACCTTCTTTTCCAGTCTGTCAATTAACTTCTGGAGTCTATTTATCTGGGTCATCCACTGATTATCTTCTTCTAATAAGCCTTGAGGGGAAAATCATGAAGGCAATATGTTAAACTCTAGACAGAGCAGGAATACTTTGCTATTTCAGAGCTTTCTTTTTCCCTGAAGGAAGAACGCAGTTTCATTGACCAGTCAACACATTAAAAAATATATATTTATATCAGAGCTTTCTAAAATTGATTTATTTCCATGGATCCGTGCATCCCAGGGGGCTCATTTTCACAGATCTGTTTTTTTATGTTGTTGCCTGTACAGGCCTTTGCTATTCAGAAGAACAGATCCTGCTGAGCCATTTTAATCACCCCATGAGGTGGTTGATTTTTCTTTCCAGAAAAAAAAGGAAAGTATCAATCAATAATTCTGAACTTACTTCCGGGGCAGCGGCAGGAGCAGGGGAGTCAGAGCCCTGCCCGTGACAAGGCCTGAGCTGCCACAGGCAAAGGGATGCATAAGGGCAAGGCTGCTGGTGTCTCCCTCCCTAAGGGCTAACCTGAGTATACGTGGGCATCCTGGCAGTGGAATAGCAGCTAGGACCACAGACTCTGGAACCTGCTCTTTTTGGTCAAATCACTTGACCTGTAAGGTCTCATTTTTGTTAGTTTTAATATGAGCATAATAGTATCACTAGACTCATAGTGGGTTAAATTAGAATTCATATGTGTGTACACATATGTATATGCACGTAGGTATATATGTGTGCACACACACACACACACACATGCCTGTCTATATCTAGCACCAAGTTAAACATTATATAAGTTCTGCTGCTGTTATTAATATGATTATGCAACAATGCAATGAGTAGTGGTCTAAGCCCTGCAAAAATATCCTGGCATCCTTCCCAGGATATACTCACAGGCATTTGCTGACATAATATTATTTAATATTTCTTGATAGGAGGATGTGATTGAATTCAAGACTATAAAGCCTGTTTTAGTTTTGAATATTAGCAAGACTTAAATTGCAAAGACATAGTATTTTACATTAGAACTCACTCTCTACCTGCTTCTTGGGTGAAGCACCTCTAAAAACCCACCAGATAAATTATGATGCAAAAATAAGCAGTAGCATTGTCACCAAGAAGTGGCTACAAAAATTGAGTAAGAGTGCTTTGTAATAGAAAATACAAATGTATAAAGTTAATTTTTAATGCACAAATCAAGTACCACACTTCCATTTTGGGTTGTTCCTAAAAGAATTTAAGGTGGCTGTCACATAAAAGTTCCCTTAGAAGGTTATTTTGGGCTTAACCCTGTTTTCTAAATGGTTCAAGGGAAAGAATAATTTAAATTTTTACTCAGGAGCTAATATTGTCACTTTCTAGTCACACATGGTAGATTGTACTATTGCTCCCAATTCTTCACTCTCTTCCTTTGATACAATCATATGTGTATAGCCTCTGCTCTGCAACTTTGCAGAACCTCCTACCGCATGGGGTAGAGTCCACTTCCCTTCCCATTGCTACTGGGTTGGCGTGTGACTGACTCATTTGGCTGATGAAGAGTTAGCAGATAAATTGCACACAGTGGTTTTAAGTTAAGCAGTGTGATTTGGCCTGGCTGCCTGTGCTACTGACACCCACCAGGAAAAGAAGCTGTTTCAAGCAGACACTGATCCCAGGAGGCTATGTGAAGAGCAGAGCTCAACCCAGCCTATAGCCACATCTAGCTGAAAACCCAAATCACAATCAACCACAGACCAGTGACAGAAAAACAAATATTTGCAGTTGTAATAACTGAGATTTTTGAGGTGGTTTGGTTCATAGTAAAAACAGATAATCATATGATCTTGGACAAATTGCTTCACTTTCTGGGAAAATGCAGATACTAACACCTATCTTATAAGGTATTAGGATAAAATAACACTGTTCAAGAAAGCACTTTGTAATCTTTCAAGTACAGTCTGTGTAAATATGGGCTACAATTAGTACTTTGATTTTCTGTAATGTTAAAGATTCATTTGCATTAAAACACTCAAGTGATATGTGTATATATACTTATGTATATATCTGCATGCTTTATACAAATTACTCTGATATTTAGCAACATGAGTGTGCTTATTTCAAATTGATTTTAAAGTACTATTATAAATGACATGGTTAAAATGTAATAGCCTAACAATTTAGGTTTTAGTCCATGTGGGTAAAATTGTAATATTTCTAGAATCTCTTGCCTGGCTTTCGTGCATCTGCATATCAGTAGGTGTTTTCAACAGGTAGAGAGAAGTAGTCCATCTACATATCACTAGGTAATTACAAGGGCCAGCGAGGGTTTATCTGGACCAGAGAGGTTGTGTGGAGCTGTCTTCTGCTGCAGCCAGCTCAAGGGAGAGATGGGACGACTGCTTGTAAGAAATAAATGGGTTTCTTAAATTTTATTTCTCCCTTTGACTGATTTCTGTTTCAAAGATATTTTGCCCTGGGATTTCCCCCCAAGAGCCACAGTCCAATAAATCTTATATTATATTATATACTGCAAAAACAGCAGCTTTTAATTCTGCCACAAAAGGAAACAAAGATCTCTTTCCTAAAATGAAGTTAGCATATGTATGTTTAGGCAGGCAGGGGGATCTGAAGCATAGGCTGCAAACTAAAGGGACCTCTTGTTTGAAGATGGGGATTTCTGCAGGTCTCATGTCTTTCATGAATTACTAGATGATTGAGCCCCTTTCTTCCCCTCTCCATCATCTCTCTGTGTGCACTCCGGCACAACTGCTAGGACCCTGCCAGAAATGATGGTGAGGGTCATCACCCCCATTTTTATTACCTTAGACAACTTGCCATTTTGGTTCCAGACATACTTATTTGGTATAAGGAAAGCATCCCACTACTACTGCTGTTCTGGCTGCCTTTTATATCAGTGTGAAAATACAAATTGAATCAATTCTGAAGACAAAAAATGACAAAGCTGCATTACCTGGCCCGCAGACATTAAACTGAGGGCTGTTCGGGGAGAAGCTGTTGTGCCTCTGGACTCGGCGACTTGATCGTTTTCCAGGCCATTGTATCAGCAGGACTTCTGGCTTGGTTGGCCCTTGCCTTGAACAACAGAGACAAACTTTCACATCAGTGTCAGAGCTTCAGCCTTTTGCCTTAAGGAACAGATTTTTCAGCATTAGTCACAAAGATTTTCTAGTGTAGTGAGAGGAAAACTTAGAATGACTGCTCACCAACATGCCTTGGAGGCCCAAGGGAATTGGGCATTATAATAAGTGAACCGAAAGCAGAGCATCTGGGCTGGCTTTATTCTTAAAATTAAAAAGTTTGAGTACAAATTGTACCTTATCTTTAAGAAAAACATCTTTCTTTTTTGCCCAAACATCAATGGAGAAAGCATTTATTTGTGTGCTATCGTATTTAGTTAGAGAACATATATGGAGTCTTTTATTCTTTCATCCAGTTTTTAATTTTTTAAGTAAAAGCTATACACCCAAATACTTTTTTTAAAGTCATATCTATAAATCCTATTTCAACAAACAGAAGCTCCCACTGTCCCATCCCCATACTATGCCCTCATTCCCCTTTCACAGATAACAGACAACACTTTCAACAAGTGTTTATTTGTGTGCTTATCTTCATATCTACATATAATATGCTTAAATTGCTCTCTCTTTATTGTTCAGTTTTAGGACTTATCTATTAACTTCCCAATATGAGAAACTCAGGCCAATGATCTTTGCTGGAAATGTTATAAGGATTTTCCAGAAAAGGTGTTTAAAATGATGAGCTTAGTATGGGAGGCAAGTTTTTGTCTCTACCTATTTGTCTTTCCTGGATGGAATGCAAACATGACAGCTGGAGTTCCAACAACCATCTTGGACCATGAGGTAAACCTGAGGATGTACTTGAGAAGTAAAAAGGACAGGAGGGCTGTGTTAAATCTGTACAGCTGCTATACTTGCCATAAGCTGCCTTCTGCCAGGCTCTTTAGTATGAGATAATAAGACCTTATGTGCTTCAGTCACTTCATGATACATACAGCCAAACCTAATACTAATTTACTCATCCAAAAATTTTCCTTCACTATCAGTTAAAGAAAATTCCTTTAGTCTCTCTCCTATGTTGGGTATCCTCCCCACCTTTCTTTTTAAAATAGATTTCATTTTTCTCTTAGTTTATTCCTTTGTTTTGGTGGAAAATAGCATCTAAATGCTTCACAAGAAATGGTACAACATGTGAGGCAAGTTTTTGAGACACTAAACATAAAATCATCTTTTTTTTATCTTCCTAGCTTATTGGTGGATTTACAGAGTAAAGAATTTTACCTACAAATCATTTTCTCTTTGAACTCTGAAAAAATTGCTCGAGTGAATCATTATTGAAAAATCCAATGTTCTCTTGATCCTTTGTATATGACCTGGTTTTTCTCTCTGGTGTTTTTCATTACTTCTCTGTCTCCAGTATTCTGAATCTCATAATGGCATGACTTGGCATTGTACTTCTTTATTCATTGTAATGAGTTCTTGGTATGTTCTAACAACCTGGAAGTTTATATCCCTGTTCTGAGAATTATTTCTTTGCTAATTTCTTCTTCTCTTTCTGGAATTACTGCTTTTCAAATATCAGACTTCTTGGATTATGAAATAGTTTCATTTTTTTCTCTCCTATTTTTCATCTCTTTATGGAAATGTCATTAATATTTTTATCTTCAAATTCTTCTCAGAGGTTTCACTTCTGCACTCATAATTTCCAAGAGCTCTTTTGTATATTTTAAATATTCTTTTTTTTTTAAAGCATCTTGTCCTTAATTCATAAATGCAGTATGCTTTCTGAGGGTATTGATGATCTCTTTTGGAAGTCTTCCAGTCCTCTAAATTACTTCTGTTTCTTCTGTTTGATTTGTTTTTTTGGTTGCCTCTGCTCTTTTCCTGCCTGTTTCAGAGGAAGGAACCACACGGATGAATGGATGGGTGTGTGTGTGTGTGTGTGTGTATGGTTGGGCTTGCCAACTCTCAGGCTGCATAGCACAGAGGCCTCCCTAGGCCCGTTCACTAGGGGACAACGACTCTTGAAACCTGTAAGTCTTTTCTCTTGCACTGATGAAATCCCTTAGAGAAGCATCCCCTCAACTAGGGGGCATGAGCCCAACTGTCAGTGCTGTGGAGCAGGGCATGCCAAAGGGGGTTCAATTCTCCCTGTCCAGTATGGGGACTTTGACTTAATACCTCGAGTTTTTAGTATCATGCCCTGACACCCAGTAGTGCCAGGTGTACATCTGTTCACCTTCTCTAAGAATTGGGAGTGGGGGCGGGCAGTCATTTTACAGCACTGTGTGGAGCTTTCAATCAAATGTCGGCCCCCTCTACCCCCACTATCTGTTGCACATGGTGAAGCCAGTTCTTGACCCTTTCTGAGGTTTTGTGATACCAACTGAAATGCATCTTGTCTTCTTAGATTGCCAGCTTATGTTTCAGCTCAGAGCTTCTAAATCAGTTACCATTAGATTCACTTTCTTTCTACATTCCACGTTTCTATCCCTTTGGCTCTTCTTCTATCCTTATTTTTGCAGGCTTAGGACTCTTTCTATCCAGGCACTTTTAATTTCTCTTTGGGGAAGAGTTTAGGAAGGGAGCAAAAGAAATACGTTTTGTCTTCAATCTTTAACTAGACCACCCTATATATCCTCCTGTGGCATAAAAAATAATCAGCTTGCTAGCTGCTGTGGTGGTCACAGGAGGGGTGGTCACAGCTGCTATGGTGGTCACTGTGGTGGTCACAGATGAGTAGAGCAGTCCTTCTCTATGTTCAGACTAAGGGAGTATAAACTGTCTGAACTTTTATAACCACCTGTCTGTAGGAGAAATTAAAGCCTTTCCTTACTTCTATAATAGGCAACCATCAAAAGGCAAAAAATAACTTCCTAGCTCAGAGGGAATCAGTCATCTCTCTGGATAAAGGACAACTTTGGAAAACAGAGCAAACTTGCAGCTTCCATTTTGAAAAAGAAATTCACATATTAAACTGTGTTTCCAGACATCTAATTTGTAAGGAAGAGAGGTTTATGTAAGAGGACTCCTTCAGAGGGAAACTTCCATATGACATAGTGATCATTCTTGTCATTGGCTATTAGGTACTTTCAGAAGACATGGAATCAACTTGGTTCCCATTTAGCCAGGGTGCCAGGACAGATACAAAGAGTGTTGTCGAATGCCACCTGAAAATCTTATCTCTGTGGCATTCCAGCTGCATGTATCCCTTCTCTCTGAAACCACCATTCTCACATGAATAGACACAGACATTTTGCCCAACACTGAATGTCTAACTCATTACTGCAGGATGAATGATACTGTCTGATTCCTCCCTTGGGCTGACAGCTAAAATAGATGACTCCTCAAAATTTTCTATACTTTATTGAGGCTTCGTATCCCTCGGTTTTTTCACAAATATTAAAGCCTCAAAGTAATATTGATGCAGTAAGGGAAACAAATTATTACAACCCTGGGATTTTTAATGATATCTGTAGGCTATAAATCTTGACTGGGAAGGGCAGCATGGAATCTTCCTTTATGATATTAGAAAACAGAGAATTTTCAGATACACTGATTTGATCTCTCCTCTCTGAGCTTGTTCCCCTCTTTCCAAAATCTTTACTATATACTATTGTGAGACTAATTGTTCTTAATCCTCATTTTCATTATATTTCTCTTTTATTTATGACCAATGACAATTTTTGTTCATGTGACATCTAAATGCATCTGTCTAGCTTTTAAGACCTTTCTTAACCTTAGATGCCAGGTAGGCTGGTCTCACTGTCTCAGGTCCTCATTCACGGCTCCTCTGTATGGTTCCCTTAACCTGGGAGTCTCTTCCATTCATCCAGTTTCATATACTTAATATGAAGCTGTGCAAGGTAGAGGGAAGCAAGGCAGGGCCCTGCCATCTGGAAACACAAAGCCCAGCGGGAGTGGTAAGTGAGGCACTGAGGTTGCAGGGAGATACGAGTAGATGCTGCTGAGGGTCTACATAATGGTGGAGTGCGAGGTATACCGTCCTGTTTCCACAGCACTGAAGGCTTCCCAGAGAAAGTGCTGTCCAAACAAACTAGAAAGAGTGAGCTAGATGAGAGAAGATGGGTAATACTGGGCAAGTGAGGAGATCCATCCCTGAAGAGAGAATGTCCTTAAATCTACCCTAAAGATCTAGTTCATGTCTGTCTCCCCAGGAGGCTCCCTCACTGGTTTCTTGTTTGTTATCATAGGAGGACAACCATCTTCCTCTACTGGTGAGGGCCCTGGGATCTCCTCACTTCGGTTCTGGTGGCCAGTGGCAAGCTCCAATTTCTGAGTCTTGGGAGAGGAGACATCGTCTGCTTTAGGCATTAATTCACATTCTTATCGGGGCCACCAGAGACTTCACCTTGGATATTATGGGCACAAACCACAGTGTATCTTGTTTTCTATTTGCTTGACAATTTCCCCCCCCAAATCCTGAGAGGAATGTCATGGATTTGCAGTAGGATTTGGGTACCCCTGGGTGCCTTAGTCAAATACCATACAACAGCACTCCCCAAAATGACATCAGACCTGTAATACTTCCCATTCCTCCAAGCAGTTTTTGAGCTAGAAACCTAGAAATAAAAGATTCATTAGTCCTCTAGTATTGTCCACTTTCCATAAACTCTGCATCATCACGCTCCTTCCTTCTCAGTAAACACAGCTGCTCTGCTACTGTAGGTCATGGTCACAAAAGTTCAAGGCTAGCCTGGGGCCTAACACAGTGAACAGTTGTTCATTATACATTCACTGAGTGTACAAGGCAAGTTTTCAGGAGATGAGCACAGAAAAAAGCCAAAGCACAGGTGAGGATGGGGAGCAGAGTACTCTGACTTGATCCTAAATAAGGATAATCCATTTTAGGCCGAAAAAATATAAACAGAATAATTAACCAAATCTGCCTCATTTTCTCTTTAGGAATACAAACTCAATATCATTTGCTTCAAGATATTCCGTTATCGTCTGTTTAACCTGAGGAGCTGGGTTGTTGCTTTTCTAAAAAGCTATTTGTCACGCCTGCCATTCAATATGGAATTGAAGTGAAAATAGGAAGTTTATAATGTGAAAATGCTGCACATATCTGATGAATGCATCCCTGTGTTCATCAGCTGCACAAGCTCATCAGATATGAGATTACAGGCTTTTTTGTTAGAAATTGATGGCACTTACTCATTTTGACATTGTAAACACATGGTTGAAAATTCCAGTTTTTCTGACATGTCCTAATAATTATGTATCCATTAATTTGTTTGGAAAATCAGCCCTACAGTTTATTATCAGCCTGTTCAAAAAACTTACTGTGTGCTTCTCCCTAATTTAAATGCAGACGTTGGATAAGTCACATCTATAGGCTTAAAGTAACATAAGCAAAAACATGTTGCGTAAGCAAGAGTTTTGCCAAGCCCTCTCTAGCTTGCAAGGTATAAACAATAACTCAAAAAAGTTCCAACTGTTGGATGGAATTATTTTGATGCCTGCTTTACACATTTCTAATTCATGTTTCTCTGTAGCATTAGTACTTTTTATTTATACAAGTATTGTTACTGGCTGAGATGCTGTTTTTCCCAGGATCGTGTCTTGGAGGCCACAAAGAATGAAGCCAACACATGAGAGTATGGAGCAACCAGCAAAGCTTTTAATGATGAGTGAAGAAAAGGGCTCCTGCTAATCAGGAGGGACTCCAAGGGAGAAAGCCACTTGGACTGCCCCGTCCAGGGATTATAAACACTGGGAGGGAGCAAGTCCACCTGGTTGCCTAGGACTTGTTGCTAGGGCCAGGCTGGGGGGTTAGAAAACCCCTTTGTTTCTCAGGCTGGCTTTTTCAGGGATTGGTTTCTTATTTAGCCTTAAGATAAATCTCTCCTGTTACTATGCTAATTCTGGCATTTTGGAGGACAATTAATCATGATGCTTGCCCCTGGTCTCTGCCTTCTCTCACCTGCATTAGCTAGAGCAAGCCTCAAGGTCAGCCCAGATTCAGAGATTTAGCTCCCTGAGTTCTTGGTGGGCCCCACCCTCTTTTCATCCTGCTCATGTGTCTTTCTGCCTAACACTATTATAATATCACTACTGTTCTCAGTGATATTAATTGGTGGTATTGAATCTTGAAGTCTTTTCCCATCAATTTTTTTCTACTTCTTTAAATAATTAGGCTTATTGAATTCTCAAATCTCCTGGTATATCCAGGTTCACTTAGTCTATAAGCCTCTTTCCCATCATTTCTACATTTTCAAATAGTATCTATTTGCAAGATAAGCTAAAATGTCAGCAGAAAATTCTATAAAATTACCTTTCATCACTCTATCCATATTTAATCATTTACTCTTCTTAAATCCCTTCGCAACCTACTTCCCCTTCTAAATGCTATATATCACTTTGATACTGCATTACAGTTTTAGTGTTCATGTCTTATTTATGTAATATGCTTTAGCTTCCTTAAGGATTGGGACTATGTATAATGTATCTTTATATTATTATGGTGTCTTTTAAAGCGTTCTCCATCTACTAAATCCTCAATTAAGATTTGCTGGATAAATGGTGGACAGTAAAAGAAAAAGCAGAATGGTCTTTTTTAGAGGCAAATTTAAGGCAAGTACCCAGTGGAGATTCCTGTCATTCTGTTTACATCTTTCTCATTTTTAGTTTTCACTGATTTAAGTACAATGCCCCCACCGAATCACTAACGAGACATCACATGAAAACATTTAACTTGCCTTTCTTGACGGGTTTGCTCCTCAGTAGTTTCCATGGCACATTCCAGAGAATTCTGGAGAGACTGAAGCTGATTCAAGGTCTCCTTCAATAAAAATCGAGTTACAAATTGTTCCAAATTGGAAGCCTCTTGGTAGACCTAAGGATGACAAAACAAATGAAATTAGGCGTAGAGTAGGGAAAAACAACCAGGAACGTCTTTTCCCCGCACGTGTTCATCAACCTTAGATTAATCCTCAAGAAGGAGAAACACTGAGTAGACAAGACATGCAGAACACCTCAAGGGCTGGGGCAGAGCTCCATCCGCCCACCAGGAATTGAATAACAGAGCAGCAGAAATGACTGGAATATCTCTTCTCCCACTGCACCTGCCTCAACGTTAGGAAAAAAGACAAAATCCATTAGAATTATGGAATAGATAGCTAGAAAAGAAATCATAGGAAAAGAATATCTGGAAAAAAGGTTGGAATGTGACTAACTCAGGATTGGTTCTGTGTTTCATTTAAATGATGACTATGCCATTGTGTATTTTCTCTATTACCAACAATATGCAGTCCTGTTTCAGCAACTGGTTTAATTCCCTCTTGATGTGTTTATTATGTCTGATCTGTATAGTACTGAAGCCAAAAGAAATTATGTGTAGTTATCTCAAAATTCAGAAAATGTTTTGGAATATTTAAACAGTTTACTAAATCTGCTATGTTCCTCCCTCAGGATATTAACCTGATGGTCATTTCCATCTAACTTCTAGTACAACACAGCCACAACATTGACAACAGCACCATTCATGCAAACAGCTCAAGTCCAAGCAGAGATCATTATCAGCCCTACAGTTTATTATCAGCCTGTTCAAAAAACTTACTGTGTGCTTCTCCCTAATTTAAATGCAGACGTTGGATAAGTCACATCTATAGGCTTAAAGTAACATAAGCAAAAACATGTTGCGTAAGCAAGAGTTTTGCCAAGCCCTCTCTAGCTTGCAAGGTATAAACAATAACTCAAAAAAGTTCCAACTGTTGGATGGAATTATTTTGATGCCTGCTTTACACATTTCTAATTCATGTTTCTCTGTAGCATTAGTACTTTTTATTTATACAAGTATTGTTACTGGCTGAGATGCTGTTTTTCCCAGGATCGTGTCTTGGAGGCCACAAAGAATGAAGCCAACACATGAGAGTATGGAGCAACCAGCAAAGCTTTTAATGATGAGTGAAGAAAAGGGCTCCTGCTAATCAGGAGGGACTCCAAGGGAGAAAGCCACTTGGACTGCCCCGTCCAGGGATTATAAACACTGGGAGGGAGCAAGTCCACCTGGTTGCCTAGGACTTGTTGCTAGGGCCAGGCTGGGGGGTTAGAAAACCCCTTTGTTTCTCAGGCTGGCTTTTTCAGGGATTGGTTTCTTATTTAGCCTTAAGATAAATCTCTCCTGTTACTATGCTAATTCTGGCATTTTGGAGGAAAATTGATCATGATGCTTGCCCCTGGTCTCTGCCTTCTCTCACCTGCATTAGCTAGAGCAAGGCTCAAGGTCAGCCCAGATTCAGAGATTTAGCTCCCTGAGTTCTTGGTGGGCCCCACCCTCTTTTCATCCTGCTCATGTGTCTTTCTGCCTAACACTATTATAATATCACTACTGTTCTCAGTGATATTAATTGGTGGTATTGAATCTTGAAGTCTTTTCCCATCAATTTTTTTCTACTTCTTTAAATAATTAGGCTTATTGAATTCTCAAATCTCCTGGTATATCCAGGTTCACTTAGTCTATAAGCCTCTTTCCCATCATTTCTACATTTTCAAATAGTATCTATTTGCAAGATAAGCTAAAATGTCAGCAGAAAATTCTATAAAATTACCTTTCATCACTCTATCCATATTTAATCATTTACTCTTCTTAAATCCCTTCGCAACCTACTTCCCCTTCTAAATGCTATATATCACTTTGATACTGCATTACAGTTTTAGTGTTCATGTCTTATTTATGTAATATGCTTTAGCTTCCTTAAGGATTGGGACTATGTATAATGTATCTTTATATTATTATGGTGTCTTTTAAAGCGTTCTCCATCTACTAAATCCTCAATTAAGATTTGCTGGATAAATGGTGGACAGTAAAAGAAAAAGCAGAATGGTCTTTTTTAGAGGCAAATTTAAGGCAAGTACCCAGTGGAGATTCCTGTCATTCTGTTTACATCTTTCTCATTTTTAGTTTTCACTGATTTAAGTACAATGCCCCCACCGAATCACTAACGAGACATCACATGAAAACATTTAACTTGCCTTTCTTGACGGGTTTGCTCCTCAGTAGTTTCCATGGCACATTCCAGAGAATTCTGGAGAGACTGAAGCTGATTCAAGGTCTCCTTCAATAAAAATCGAGTTACAAATTGTTCCAAATTGGAAGCCTCTTGGTAGACCTAAGGATGACAAAACAAATGAAATTAGGCGTAGAGTAGGGAAAAACAACCAGGAACGTCTTTTCCCCGCACGTGTTCATCAACCTTAGATTAATCCTCAAGAAGGAGAAACACTGAGTAGACAAGACATGCAGAACACCTCAAGGGCTGGGGCAGAGCTCCATCCGCCCACCAGGAATTGAATAACAGAGCAGCAGAAATGACTGGAATATCTCTTCTCCCACTGCACCTGCCTCAACGTTAGGAAAAAAGACAAAATCCATTAGAATTATGGAATAGATAGCTAGAAAAGAAATCATAGGAAAAGAATATCTGGAAAAAAGGTTGGAATGTGACTAACTCAGGATTGGTTCTGTGTTTCATTTAAATGATGACTATGCCATTGTGTATTTTCTCTATTACCAACAATATGCAGTCCTGTTTCAGCAACTGGTTTAATTCCCTCTTGATGTGTTTATTATGTCTGATCTGTATAGTACTGAAGCCAAAAGAAATTATGTGTAGTTATCTCAAAATTCAGAAAATGTTTTGGAATATTTAAACAGTTTACTAAATCTGCTACGTTCCTCCCTCAGGATATTAACCTGATGGTCATTTCCATCTAACTTCTAGTACAACACAGCCACAACATTGACAACAGCACCATTCATGCAAACAGCTCAAGTCCAAGCAGAGATCATTGCAAACAAACAGCCACCCTAGCCAACTGAGTCTAGGTGGACAGGTAGGTAGTGCATGGTGCTACCTGCTGCTCTTGGCCTCTAAAGCCTCTGGAGGAACCAGAATGAAAAGAAAACCAGGTTGGCATGCTGTAAAACTGAGCCAAAACTGCTCTTCCAGGTCATGGGACCAGCTAGCTAAACCTGATTTCATATTGTGTGGGCACAGTAAATTCCAATTATGTAGCTCTGTCCCTAAATAAAATGATTTTTTTTTCATGGTTGAAAATACAAAATTGAAAGGAATGATTAGAGACAAGATAAACCTATGAGTTGTGGTATGCTGGAGAACTTTAGGGCATGGCTGTAAACCCAAACAAACAAGATTTAATTAAATAATCTTCCAGGGTCTCAGCTTTACTCTCGTAAATCAGAAAGCAAGTAACTCTGGCATACATTCCAAACCAAAATACTCTGTGCTTCTATCAACTCTAAATTAGGAAATATTGGACAATGGCCTCCTCATATAAATTACTTCGGAATTTTTCTTCTGTTAGCAAAAGAATCTAATGTCATAGAAAATCTCAATTCTTTCCTAATTTGAAACCGTAAAAAGAGACTGATGACTGAAACCTTGTAAATCCATTCTTTGATGGTGAACACAGGAAATTTCCTTATCTCCCATATCTAATGGTTTTATTTAAAACTTAAAAATGTTAATGCCTTTAAACTCCACCAGACACTAGCCATAAAACAAAACAATACACACTTACAATAGCCTAAGGATTTTTGGTGATTTAATTCAAGCAAACAATTTACAAAATATTTCATTTGATCAAATAGCTTGCTATTTAGTGGCAATAAAAACTTCAGAAAATTACTTCAAAAGGGGTTTTTAAAGTTGAGGAAAACTTTCCTTTGAGATGACAAGAAAATGTGATAGGAAAAAAAGGTGTGCTCGATTCTTTCCCCACAGTCCTTTCCATTTTTCTAAAGCATATTTCTGAAGTAAAATTAAAATGACAAGATGTAATTGTGTAGTCAGAGATTAGGCCAATTACCTTTGCATCTCAGTATACATTGTGACTAATTGAAAGCAAATGATAAAAAGTTTCACAACTATTTGTAGAAGCAGGAACAGGAGGACGCATACACTTACTGAGCCATGCAACATCATGTTGCCCTTACTCTTTTCCCAACTAAATGTTAAATATTTGTCATGTCAGAACTAGACAAAGGAAAACATTTTTTTTTGTTGTTCCCTAATTTAAATACTTTGATCATTGCAATTATATTTTAGCTTCTTAGACACAAAGCTTATGCCTTTTACTTTCAAATGCCTCATGGTGCCCAGGGAAGAGCCTCATTCAATACCTGATTGCTTGCAGATCAATTCCTAACTCTAGGGATTTATTGTGTTTGTTATTGTGGGTTCACGTGTAAAGAGTTTGATGATGTTAGTTAGATGTTTAAGGATGAGGAGCTACTCCATCATTGTTACATCACAGCAAATTAAGATACTGTGGTTATGCTGGGACGTCTCACTCTGACAAGCCTGCTGTCCTCAGTGACTTTCCAGATAACATGAAGAGATGGTACAACCACTTGGCACTTTTGACAGAAATGTTGATGCCTTGGCATTGACAGGGGTGGTGAGTGGGTTTCAGACTTGGGGTCATTAAATATTTCGAGTCAGTTATGATGATTTGCTGCCCCTTGATCATCAGGAAAGGGCTTTTGTTCTAATATTCCTGTTTAACCTTCTAGACCCAGCTCAGGGCACCATCTCTGTATAGCCTTCTCTCTGCTTGCACCACCATTGCTCTTCTCAGAATTAGGTACAATTCCTTTCCCTTCTGTGTGTTCCTGAAATACCTTTTCTCTACCCAGGATATAGAATTTATCATTTTATATTATTATCTACTGTTTACTTGTCTATCTTCCCCATCCTAGGCCAGCTCTTTAAAGGTAGGAAATACGTCTTAATCATTTTTGCCTCCAGAATGCCCAGAACACAGCCTGCTTCTTAACAGCTGCCCCATAGATGCTTTAAAAATAAGTAAGGAACAGGGGACTCCCTGGAACTTCAGGTGCCAGAGGGCATGTGTGAGCTCTGGAAGCTGATCAGCTCTCCCCACTCACCAGCTGCCTGCCCCTGCATCGAGCCCTTGCTGCTGGTAGACACTGCTGACCCTCTCGCCTGGTTTGAGGGCTCTGCAATAAAGGGAAATACAGCTTTGTTCTTAACAGACTGTTGGTCCTCATTTCATTTTCTGGACCACTTGTTAGTCTTCCTCCCTTCCCTTAATCTGGATCCCAAGGTTTGGGATTGCAGACCCAGGTGGCACAGATCCAGTCTTTCCTTCCTTCTTCCAGCTATGCAGCACATGTTCCTTTGGAAGGCAATGGTGAAAGAAGCAGATGGAAAATTAAATAGATAACAAGCTGGAAAATGTCAAAGCCTGGCCCTTTTTATGCTCAACAAATGTGTTGGCTGTGAAGATACAAGAAGGGATCTCTGCATGTTGAACCCCCAGAGGACTGATATGCTGGCTTTAGTGGTCCTTTGAGCAAAACCCAAAATGTGAGAAACTGGCAGAAAGAACTTCCACTGGTCTAATAAAACAATATGAAAATGTACAGTTGGTACCTGATATCCAGATTCTGCTTTTTTTTTCAGAGATTAGTCCTTCATGTCTATTACAAGGGATATGGGCAAATGAAGGCTAACAATATGCTTCTCAGATCCCAATAATATTCATTCAAGTCACTGATAATTATCAGTTAAATTAGTCATTAAGTGGAACTTGTTAATATTTCCATTTGTGCCTTTGGAAAGGCAGAATGTAAACATTTCCATCTGTGTATTTCTTCTGTGTGGAGCTGGTACACAGCTAGGATTCATTCAAGTAAAAAACCCTAGCATTAGAAGCATGGTGCTTTGAAGATGAGGTTTCTAAGGGCACTGCCTGTGCATCTTACCTGTCAGATCATTTCTCAGAAAGTAAGCTCTGCCCATATGGATGATGGAAGAGCGGAGATCTTAGCTATTAACCCACTATGAGTCATCTGAGTTAATTAGGAAAATCAGAGCATCCGTCTTCCCTGTTTGTATTTGCCTTACTTGAAAATTAATCAAGTCAGTGACATCTCAGTGTCTCCTTGTTTATGAGATCAGATACAATCACAGTTAGCAGGGTGTACTGCTTCTGACTGTCTTTTGATCTAAGCCCCTGCAGCTATCCCTCTTCTGTGAGATTTCTTTGCCAGATTCTGTAAGAGGAAAATACTCGCTTTTACAATGATAAGGTTGTCTTTTCCTCTTTTTCTATTCTCCTCCAAACTGTTACCTTTTTAAATACTGACTTACTTTATTATTTATGTCCTATTTCTTTGAACAATCTTAGGTTTTCATTTTGAGTGACTTTTTTTTTAACTGGGAGAAAAGCATGTCAAATTAAAAAAAATAAAAGAACTGGTCTTAATTCAGAGTCTTAAAAAATTAACTGAGGTTAATTCCAGAATGGGTTTTTAGAAATATTAGATGGCAAAACAAGTCTAAAATATTTTCAAATTGCAGATTCTCAAAGATTAAGGGAATTACAGATTTGCAGATTAGTGAAAGATAAAACAAGGCTGTAATTTTGGAATAAAATGTTATGAAATAACCAATAAATCTAAATAGCTTCTAAGCCCTAACTTAATTAGATATTCTGTAGTTTGAAGAAAGAAAATACTGGAGAGAATTTTATTATTTAAGACTTTTACATTAGCAAACTCTACTGTAAAGGGTTTATGCTGGAATTATCAAAGATTTATTTCATTTAGGTTTCTTTCCTTCGGTTCTTCTATAGCTGTCCCACACCAGGAGACCCTACCAAGAATGTATGACCCCTTGATATCTTGGCCCAAACAGGCCTATTCTTCTAGGAAGTAATCTTCAAACAGGTTGGATTTCAGGAAAATATGGGTATGAAGATAGGGACATATACAGAGTCAGCCCAAATTTGGAGATTAATTGCTAATAGCTGAGGACTCAGATCACATTCATATACATCTAATAACATAGTGTGATTTAAGAATCTAGGTCTAAAGATAGTTATACTTAAGTTCTAACCAGTGCTTGTACCATGCAATAACAGTGTGAACTTGGGTAACTTTCAAACTTTCTAAGTCTTGTTTCCAGAACTGTTGATAAGAATAGTATCAATCTCATAAACTTGTTGTGAGGATTAAGTGAAATACAGCATGTAAAGCACATGATATGGTACCTAGCTTAGAGTTTTTGGTAAGTGTTTATCAATGCTATTGGAGGAAGGATATTTACAAAGTGTAATGGGC